TTTGCAGGCGGAAACACGACGTCTCCGCGGACAATTGGAAAGCAATGAATGGCAGACACGGCCCACAGGTTTACGCTGGTCACGTCAGGTACGTACGGTCATCCTCGTCAAGAAGCGTAGGAGCGGCGGGAGGCAACGAGGGGCTTAAAGCGCACGTTCAGGGAGGGGCCGTGTACTCGTCCCAACGTATACACCCTATGGACATAGCGACCGCGCGCACTGCCTGCCCGTGCTGTGACAGGCCATTTCCCTCCTTTGCGGCGTGGGGCGCCCCTCGTCCCCTGGCCAGGTTGTAGCTGTGGCTGACTGGTATGCATCCGCGCCTCCCGAGCGGGGGGCTCGGGTTCGACCCCCGGCCGCGGCAAAAATCTTTGCTTTTTTCCAAAAAAACGTCCCTGAACGTGCCCTTTAAAGGCCTCTGGAAAGAAGGGATTGGTCAAAAAGCAAGAAGCGGTGCATCGGCTGGGGGTCGAACCAGGGATGGTCCGCTCCGCAGTCCAACGCGCTACCCCCACACCAAAGGGGTCGAGTGGGTGAGGGCGGCGGAGGGGCCCCAAGTACCCGAGGGCCGAACTGGTGCACGTTACTGGGCAACAATTCAAAATAAAGCTATTTACAAATAATAATAACGAAAAAAACCTAGGGAAAAGCTGGCTCAGGGTAAGGAAAGGACTCCCTGAATTTCCTGAAGTGTTTTATACCCTTTCCGACGATTTTTGAACCAAAAAGCGCCCCAAAAACCTCTTTCCGCTCAGAACATGGCTGCCTTCTATCCAATCAGCCTCAAATTTTTATCACCGATGGGGATGGCTAAAAACTATTTTTATGGAAGTTTCCAGCCAAAAATATAGTCAGTCAAAAAAGTTATGGCTATAAAACCGTTTTCTGGAAACCCAGTCGGGGGGTTTTGGGGCCCCTTACGCGATGGAAAGCGTGCATGGTTTCGCCCCGTCGGTCCCTCACCCCTGGGGACACCCGGCCATCTTTCCAAGGGTCGTTAAGTGCAGTTTACCCTCCCCCCCAGCCGGCCCCCACCTACCGTAAGAGGTCCCGAAATAACGGGGGTCCATTCTACTGTATGTATTTTATCGGATTTTTTTAGCCAAATAATGGACCGCCGTTCGGATTGGTCGAATTTATGACGCATTTTGCCATCATTGTTGCCGCCATCTGCCTCTTCATGGTGCCGTTCGCTATTTGGTGGCTTGCGGAGACGGTAGGCCGCATTTTTTTCGCGCATTTTCGGCTAATTTTTATTTTTTTCAGGTTTTCAACCCCAAAAAAGTCAAAATCACGCCGCGGCGGTACTGTTCTATTAGCGGGGGGAGTTAGCTGGGAAAAACTAATTTTTAAGTTTTTTTGGCGTCTGTTGATAATAAAAGAAGCATTTTTCTAGTGGTTTTAATAGTTTTTGATGGCTAGTTCGTTGTAAAAAAATTATGGAAAATTTTGGTCTTTTTACTCTTTTTTCAGGTATTTCGTTGCAAAAAGTCGAAATTTTTCGAAAATTGTTAGATATTTGTAGCGCTTTTTAGCTAGAAATCCGTGTATAACGCTTTAAACCCCCCCCCGCTAACAGTCCAGTACCGCCAAAAGCCGGCCGGCCTAAAGAATTTATGCGCGTTTCAGTGTACGGTTTCCTGCCCTCGACGTTTCTATGCGTTATTCCGCCATCTAATCGTCTGGTCAATCATCCTCATCGGTCAGTTTACACTTTTAAAGGGACTGGGAAGGCTCGCAGAGATTGTTTGAGGCTTCTCCTCCCTTCCGAGTCCCTTTAAATCAACCAATTTCCAGGAATAACCTATCGTAATTGTTCATCAGAAGAGAGGGATCGCATCTCGACTGTCATTAAAGTACACAATGGATACGTGAAAAATACCTTAATCTATCTATTTCCTTGGATTTTTGGAATTGTGATGCTCATCCCCGGCGTTGTCATTTTGTTCCTGTACGGTTAAACTTTGACGGCATACGAGAGAGTGAGGGTGAGAGAGACAAAGAGAGAGACCAAGTGGGAGAGACAGACAGAGCGAGAGAGAGAGAGAGAGAGAGAGAGAGAGAGAAAGAGAAAGAGCGAGAAAGAGAAAGAGAGAGACCAAGTGGGAGAGACAGACAGAGCGAGAGAGAGAGAGACAGACAGAGAGAGAAAGAGATAGAGAGCGAAAGAGAGAAACAGAGATTGGGAGACAGAGAGGGAGAGAGAGAGAGAGAGAGAGAGAGAGAGAGAGAGAGAGAGAGAGAGAAACAGAGATTGGGACACAGAGAGAGAGGGAAAAAGAGAGAGAGAGAGATGGAGAGAGAGAGCGCGCGCGAGACTGAGTCTGACAGAGAGACAGCTAAAATCCGATCGCAAAATCTGAAGCATCACCGATATTTATTTAGCCCTAAATTTTGCTTTTTCAAATGTCTAAGCAGATATTTTTATCCGAATCGCTAAACTGACTTCCCGACCACCGACTGCAAAGTACAAACTACAATTTGACACCTGGAGCGAGAAATGCAATTTTCAATTTTCTGCAACAAATCCACTTTTATAATTTTGCAACATTTATTATGCAAAAACCGAGGGCTTTTTAGCCTTGGCGGTTCCTTTAAAAATACATATTCAGATGGATGGCCAGAAAAGTGAAGAAAAGTGAGAAAGAGGCGATGGAATACAGTTTGTGGCCATAAATAACACTCCACATTCTGCCAACAAATAGACAAATCGCAGCGTCGAACTCGTCGAACTCGTCGTCAGTGTAGTATTCAAGGCGCCATTGATCTGAGAATGAAGTCGTTAGGAAAACCAGGAGAACCGCAGGCCGCGACACGCAACGCGTACGCGCCGCCTTTCATTGCGTAATCGATTACGTAGTGAAAATGAATGGATTGTGCGCTATGAAAGAACCCACGATGGTATAGGAAGAACATGATGGCGAAGGCCGGGCCGAGGAGAACACAAAGGAGAAGCCCTACACCGCATGATTCTCTGTACTGGAAAAAGGAACATTATCGGACCGGGGCAAATGGTCTCTGCTAGCCTGCCCCCTTTCTAGAAGACGTGTCATACCATTTCGAGCCATTCCGCTGCACGTTTCGGCGGCATCGGATTCTGAAAGCAATATAATTCAGATCATTATTTAAGCCAGAGAGAGAGCGAGAGAGAGAGCGAGAGAGACAGAGAGAGAGAGCGAGAGACAGAAAGAGAGACAGATGGAGAGAGAGACAGAGAGAGAGAGACAGAGAGAGAGAGCGAGAGAGAGCGCGAAAGGGCGAGAGAGAAAGAGCGAGAGAGAGACGGCGAGAGACAGAAAGATACAGAGCGAGAGAGACAGAGAGAGACAGATGGAGAGAGAGAGACAGAGAAAGACAGAGAGAGAGAGAGAGAGAGAGAGAGAGAGAGAGAGAGAAGGAGACAGAGCGAGAGAGAGAGAGAGAGAGAGAGAGAGAGGAGGAAGAGGAGAAGAAAAGACTTACATCATTACAGTTGAATAGATACGAGCAGACAAGCAGTGAGAATAGGAGTACTGTCGAGACAGCAGTCGTACGGAGGAGTCGACTCAGATACGGCTTCAATTCCACGAATATCGACGTCATCTTCTGCTTCAGACTGACCACCGGCATTTTCTAGGAGCTGATCACTACTTGGAAGGGGAGAGAGAGAGAGAGAGAGAGAGAGAGAGAGAGAGAAACTACCCAAAAAATGCGCCAAAGTTGAGCTAAAAATGCCCGGGGGGCATGATGACCTCGAAGGGCAGATGGCTCAATCGCCAATTGATCATTGCCTTTCATTTCGCCCCCAATTCTCTCGGCCAGTCGGTAGTACTCGAAAAACACACGCTTCGCAGCTTCCTTTAGCATTTATTATGCAAAAATCCAGGGCTTTTTAGCCTTGGCGGTTCCTTTAAAAATACATGTTCAAATGGATGGCCAGGAAAATGAAGAAAAGAGAGAAAGAGGCGATGGAATACAGTTTGTGGCCACAAATAACACTCCACATTCTGGCAACAAAGAGACAAATTACAGCGTCGAATTCTTCCATTTCGCCGTCACTGTGGTAGATCTGCCGCCATGTCTCTGTAAAGTATACTTTAAAGGGGCCGGCAAAGAAAAGGCATTGATTTAACTGCCGCCGCGACCTCACCGCGCCGCCAAAAACATGTCGTAATCGATTACGCAAGGGAAGAAGTTACCGTGGGCGAGACAGAACGGGACAAGGGGCACCCAGCCGCACCAGAGCGCGATCGAAAGAAGAAATCCGCATGAATGGCCGTGCTGAAAACAATTTCAGATGTGCGGTGAAATATCTCTCCATTCCTCAAAGAATCTCTGCTAGCCTGCCCCCTTTCTAGAAGACGCGTCATACCATTTCGAGCCATTCCGCTGCACGATTCGGCGGGATCGGATTCTGAAATCAATATAGTTCAGATCATTATTTCAAGCCAGAGAGAGAGAGAGAGAGAGAGAGAGAGAAAAGGCGAGAGAGAAAGAGCGAGAGAGAGCGAGAGACAGAGCGAGAGAGACAGAGAGAGAGAGAGAGAGAGAGAGAGAGAGAAAAGAGAGAGAGAGAGGACAAAAGACTTACATCATTACAGTTGAATAGATACGAGCAGACAAGCAGTGAGAATAGGAGTACTGTCGAGACAGCAGTCGCACGGAGGAGTCGATTCAAATACGGCTTCAATTCCACGAATATCGACGGCATCTTCTGCTTCAAAATGACGAGTAGAATTTTCTGAGAGCTGATCACTGCTTGGAAGAAAGGAGAGAGAGAGAGAGAGAGAGAGAGAGAGAGAGAGAGAGAGAGAGAGAGAGAGAGAGAGAGAGAGAGGGAGAGAGAGAGAGGCTACCTAAAAATGCGCCAAAAGTTGGCCTAAAAATGCCCTGGGGAGCACGCTGACCTGGCAGATGTCCGAATCGACAACTGCTGATTGCCCCCCACTCCTTTTCCTCCCCAAATTCTCTCTGCTAGTCTGCCTTTTTGGCCCCAATTCGCACTTTTAGAATTCAAAAAAATGGCTGTGGAAGAAGCGAGGCCCTTCTCACCCCACGCCGATTCGGCCACTTCGACGGTCAGCGATGCGGACTACGGTAGGGGGTCTCTGGGTGGAGACTACAAAGCACAAACTGCCAGCCACACGACCCGAGTTCGAGCCCAGGCGACAGCAGACTTTTTGCGTTTTGCAACTTGCGGAACCTGGAACTTTTTTGCGGATAGATTTTTATGGAAACGCTTAAACTGATAGACATACTATAGACTACAAACTACAAACTGTCATCCAGACTTCAAATTGTCGCCGGAAAGCCCCGGGTTCGACTCCCAGCCGCGCCAAACTTTTTGCGTTTTGGAATTGCTCGATAGATTTTGATGGGAAGCGCCAATCTGGCAATCAGACTACAGACTACAAACTACAAACTACCATCCAGACTTCAAGAGTGTCGCCCAAAAGACCCGGGTTCGAGCCACGGCCACGGCAAAAAAAATTTTTGCGTTTTGGAACTTCCGGATAACTTTGATGGAAACGCTTAAACGGATAGACAGACTACAGACTACAAACTACAAACTGTCATCCAGTCTTCAAATTGTCGCCCAAAAGACCCGGGTTCGACCCCCAGCCGCGCCAAACTTTTTGCGCTTTGGAACTTCCGGATAGATTTAGACGGGAATCGCCAATCTGGCAATCAGACTACAGAATAAATGCTGTAAATAGTCTTTTTGATGGCCAGGGCCGGTTCCCTGACCCCAAAAAGGTTCCGTTTCGAGGCGCAGATGGATAATTCGTGCAAAAAATCGGATTTCAGATGCTGTCAACGAGCTGGCGACGCTGCGACGACGTCTTCGAGCCGAACAGGCGGAAAATCGACGTCTTCGTCGCCAGCTGAAAGAATATGAAGGCGCGACGAGCCCACCTCGAGGGATGGCCGCATGGACATTCGAGGTATTGGGGGGATATATTGCATCTTTTCTTAGGATCCAAGTTGCTAGCCTTTTTTTTGTTCGGAAACGTAAAAATTATACAAAATTACAATTTCGCGTTCTAAAAAAGTTTAAAGGTGCTAAAAAATCTGGTCCACGGCCCCCCAGCGTTGATTCCTGGCAAACAGCCAGATGCCGCAGCGACGCGACCGCGCCGCATGATCTTTTGCCCCCGTTTGGACGTGAAAACGCTTGAATTTCAAAATTCTGACGCTATTTCTGGAATCCTCATCGAATTTTGATCATTCTGGACTTTTTAATGTTGAAAATTGATGAGAGAATGGCCGAGATCGAGAGATTGGGCGCCGGACAACGCATTACGACATGTAATTCCCCCACTCAAAATATCGTTTCGCCCAAAAAAAATTTCGGTTTTTCGCAAACATTTTTCGTCTTTTTGCAACGAAATCAATTTGCTGGTACTTTTCGGCAGTGACCATTTGGTTTTTTTGGGCAGTCCATCCCCATATACGCGAATTTGGCTTAAAGGGCACGTTCAGGGACTTTTTTTTTTGAAAAGCAAAGATTGATGCCGCGGCCGGGGGTCGAACGCGGGCCCTCCGCTCGGGAGGCGCGGATGGATACCAGTCAGCCACAGCTACAACCTGGCGAGGGGATGAGGGGCGCCCCACGCCGCAAAGGAGGGAAATTGCCTCCCACGGCACGGGCAGGCAGTGCACGCGGTCCCTACGTCCATAGGGTGTACACGTTGGGACGAGTACACGACCCCTCCCTGAACGTGCGCTTTAAGTGCCGTTTACCCCCCCGAGCCGATCCCCACCTACCGTATCTCGGCTCCATGTTCATCTACAGGGGTGTAAAGTATACCAAACTGTTCGTCTTGCTCTGGCGAGTATTTTGGTATACTTTACACACTTGTAGATGGACAGGGAGCCGAGATACGGTAGGTGGGGATCGGCTGGGGGGAGGGGCAAACTGCACTCTAACCGCGACTTTTGACTTCCGAGCCCCTTTAAACGTGTTTTTTATAGTTTTCTGCGCCGTTATCGGGGTGGGCCTTTTTTCTAAGGATCCAATTTTTCTAATATAAATAGAGCAACTGTTTCAAAACCGTTTCTAACATTTTTCGACAAAAATGTCACCTTAAATTTTTTTTGAAAAGGGTTTTTGGATGTTTTTTCACCAAAATTTGTCGCAAAAACCCTGTCAAAACGTACTAAAATGTACTAAAACCCCGGTGAAAAGTCGTTGTTTAGGACGAGGATGGGACGATATGGAGGAACGTGGTCGTCTTTTTTATGCAAGCTGGGATCGTGTTGGGCGCGATGATGCTGTTCGCCATGGCGAGTGACAAGTGGTGGCCGGCCGAGACGGTAACCCCCTCTCTTGTAGTTTGTAGCCTGTAGTCTGGATGCCAGTTTAGCGACTCCAGCCACAATGTGTTTTTTTGGTACTTGTGTATTCGCGGGGGGGGGGGGGGAAGCGTTCGCGGGGGGAACCAACTTTTTTTTCCTGACGGCCCTGATGGGGATAGTAATTAAATATACAGTGTTTTCATATTGTTTTTGGCGAAATTTAGACCTATTTAAATCGGAAAAACTTTTTAAAACGTTAGAAAAACGCTTGAAAAAGTCGAAAATTTTGGCATTTTTGGGCCAAAAATATTGATTTTTTGACCTAAAATAAATTTTTTAATTAGATTTTGTAAATTTTTTATGCTTAGCAATAGCTATAAACAATTTCCCGGGAATTCTTCCCCCCCCCCCGCAAATACACAACTACCGTCAAATTCCGTCAAAAAAAAATTTGTTGCGGCAGTTAGTAGTTTGTAGTCGGTAGCGTCGCGCAAATTGTAGTCTGTAGTCTGTTGTCTGGGCGTCAGTTTAGCTATTGTCATCAATATGTGGTACAAAATTGCCAAAAAGTAAAAAGTTGACCGCGGCCGGGGGTCGAACCCGGGTCGTTTGGGCGCCAGTCTGTAGTCTGGATGATATTTTATAGGTTGTAGTCTGTAGTCTGGGCGTCAGTTTAGCGATTCCGATTAAAATCGAATGGAAATTATACTTTTTAGTGTACTGTATCGTGTCCTCTCCGTTTCTCCATTCTATTCCGCCATCTAATCGTCTGGTCGTTACTCCTCATCGGTCAGTTTACACTTTTAAAGGGGCCGGGAAGGCTAGCAGTGATTGTTTGAGGCTTCTCCTTCCTTCCGAGCCCCCTTAAATCAACCAATTTCCAGGAATAACCTATCGTAATTGTTCATCAGAAGAGAGGGATCGCATCTCGACTGTCATTAAAGTACATCTCAAATATATGAAGGAAACATTCATCGATGTATTTCCATGGATGATCCTCTGCATTGGAATCATCATTTTGATTGTTATTTGGATTTACTAGCCCAAAAAGCAATAAATTGTTATTGTAGATGCGAGAAAGAGAGAGAGAGAGAGAGAGAGCGCAGAGAGAGACAGAGAGAGCGAGAGAGAGGGAGAGAGAGACAGAGAGAGCGAAGGAGAGGCAGAGAGAGTGAGCGAGAGATGGAGAGAGCGAGAGGGAGAGAGTGAGAGGGAGAGAGACAGAGAGAGCGAGAGAGAGTGAGTGAGAGAGAGACAGCGAGAGCGAGAGGGAGAGAGAGTGAGAGAGAGAGAGAGAGAGAGAGAAAGACCAGAAGTTTTGAATCATTTTTTGGTTTTTGTTTTTGTTTCGTTTGAGCGATTAGGCACGATGGTTCTCGAGGGCTATTTCTATAGGACTCGATCTCCTCTTTCAAATGCTATAGTCAAATCCACTACCGTACCCCCAGGCGTCAAAAGGAATCCGACGGAAACTCGGAAAATTCGGCCTTCCACAAATTTTTTGAGTTTTTCATACGTGTAAGTTTATTTCTTTTCGGTAGATCTCGACAAAGGATTTATACTTACAAAAAAACTTGAAGATGAATGGCGAGAAATATATGAAACACAAAAATGGCGGCCAGAATACGGCGCGGCCATGATTCTTTGAGAACCGCCAGGAATCGCCGCTGATAAATGCCGAAGATCGCGTCATATTCGTCATAATCAGCATCGGCAAGCGAATATTCGGCCCAGATCACTAAAATTCAGCGCCATTTGGAATGGTTGGAACAATATAGCCCTTCGCCCACATGGCCCGGGTTCGACCCCCGGCCGCGGCAAAACTTTTTGCTTTTTGCAATTTCTCGCTGGCTTTTGTTCGGACCGTTCACTGTCCTCCAGCCTACAAAACACAAACGTGATCGTACGACTGGAGGCCACAAACTACAAACTTTCGGCCCGCAAGGCCGGGTTCGACCCCCCCCCCCGCCGGCCGCGGCCAGGTTTTTGCTTTTTGGAACTTTATCAGGTTTTTTTGCTGAGAATCGCTAAACTGGCATCCAGACTACAAACTACAGTAATTTATCATGGCTATGGACTACGAACCACGATCCGGAACGCCCGGGTTCGACCCCGGGCCGCGGCAAACTTTTTGCGTTTTGCGAATTTCTCAGGCTTTTTGATGGAAATCGCTAAACTGGCATCCAGACTTTAATCTGTGATGAAAATCCGTCGATTCCATTCCATTTCCCCCACACTTACACTGGAGTAAGAAGCCAAATAAGGCAAACATGAGGAACCAAACACACAGAATCGCTAAGAGGAACGCGCACGGCACGCCCGGGTCCGGTGCCTCGCTGGACGGGTCGACGACGCCGGGCGGGATGATGGGACTCTGAAATCGGGCGGCGTGTCTCTCTCTCTCCCACTCTCTCTCTCTAACTCTCTCTCTCTCTCTCTCTCTCTCTCTCTCCCCCTCTCTCTTTCTAGTACTTACTGGACTGCCTTCAAGCAGATAGGCTGTGAGAAGATATGCACCACAAAATGCCGAAAAGCCGCCCAAAACCATGCCAAAATCGTCCTCTGGCCTCGACGTCGTCATTCCTGAAAATAGGACAGTGAAAAGCAAGAGAAAGAAAGAGCGAGTGAGGGGAGAGAGAGTGAGAGAGAGAGCGAGTGAGAGGGAGCGAGAGAGAGTGAGAGGGAGCGAGAGAGAGTGAGAGAGAGAGAGCGAGAGAGAGAGAGGGAGCGAGAGAGAGAGCGCGAGGAGTTAAAAAGCACAACCCATCGTGATCGAATCTCCTGCGGCTCCAGAATTAAAAACCGTAATCGATTCCTAAGTCCGAATTCCGGTGGCAAAAATTGCGGCCAAGGATAAATGCGCCAAAACTGGAGGCCGAATAGCCCGAGGGCAAATTTTGTCCCGCCATCTCCGCTGACGCCTCCTTCAAACCGCCAATACGTTACGGTATCTAGCTGCTGCCCTTGGCACGTTCCCCAACGACCTATCACCACGTTTTCCCGCACTTTACCGCGATTCCCCATACATAGATTTCCCTCGGCGTCGACACGCAACGCGCATGATCCACCTTTCCGCTACATAACCAGTTACGGTAAGACTCTAGTCTACCCCCCCCCCCAGCCCTAACTTTTCAGCCATACTTCCTATTAATGCGCGGAGTATCTCAAACGGTTCGCCGTGGTCGAATTACTATAAAAACGTTGTTTTCTTGCGGCAGAAATTGCTAGAAAATTTTTTACAAGATTTTGCAAGTTGAAAAGATTAAGTCGCTATGCTTCGATGTACTAGGAGTCTAAAACTCAAATATTTTTATTTTCCGCTATTTTTTTCGGCTCAAACGTACTGTAGGCTTATTCTACACGGCAAGAGCTACATTTTGGTACCATTGACAGCTCTGTACGTCAAAAGATAGCCGAGATACGAAAACACACTCCGGACCAGCAAAAATTAACTAAAGAAAACGCAGACTTATAATTTTTATAAAAATTTATCTAACAATTTTTGATGTAAGAAAACCACTTGGCTTGAGTAACTCGACCACGGGGCACATTTTGAGATACTCGGCGCATAAATAGGACGAATGGCTGAAAGGTTGTGGCTGGGGGTGTAAACTAGAGTCAAGCCCCGCGCGGCGGCATTTTTTTTTATTTTGACGAAATTTTTTCGATAATATAATTAGTTGTAATAGTTTACAAAAATAAAGCCGTTTTAATCATTTTCGGGGGTTCGGGAGGGGCTAATTTGCATAATGTGAAAAAATAGCAATTTCCTAGTTGGCCGCGGGCAAATTAAGGAAATTTTTGCGTACCTTGTTTATTTTTCATTAGTCGGGGGGTCAAATCACAAATCATGGTATTTTTTTGATGCGCTACAGAATAGCGTTGCAGAAACCTTGTGAAAATGCCGAAAACGTCGAAAACTAACGTTCCGCTCCAGGTTTCTAGGTGGAAATGACGTTTAAATATTTTTTTTCCTATAAATGTTTTACATTACAATGGGCTATGGCAAGGCTCTGAGTATATTTTTGGATGCCTTCTCGATAGGCGTCTTCAAAACATCGAAAACTAGCGTATCGACGCCGTTTTCGAAGGTGTTTTTGTTGTTGTTGCTGTAACTTTTTTTGTATAATCGGATTTTGAGCTATCACCAAAGCTCTTAATATATTTTTGTCGATGTTCTTTTAAAAAGCAAAGAGAAGCATTCCAGTGCCCAGGGCCCACGAAGCGGGTTTTGGGCGCTGGTAGCCTCAATGTTTCAAGATCTTTTTAGGTTGAAATGTGGGCGAATGCCGACGATTCGGACGATTCGGCATTTTGGGATGCAGCCGATGTGGTGAATCGAAGGCGACGGGGTGAACCGGGCAAAAATGGGCCATGAATTTTGTTATTTTAGGGAATGGGAATATTGAGGCGGTACGGCGACAATTGAGGGATGAACAGGTGGGGGAATATCTCTCTCATTCTCTGTCTTTTTTTCACGAGCTCTCTCTCTGTCTCTCTCGCTCGCGCACTCTCTAGCTATCTCATTCTCGCTCTCCCTCTCTAGCTCTCTCTCGCTCTCTCTCGCTCTCTCTCGCTCTCTCATTCTCTCTCTCGCTCTCCCTCTCTCGCTCTCTCTCTCGCGCTCTCTCTAGCTCTCTCATTCTCTCTCGCTTTCTCTCGCTCTCTCTTTTTTCTCTCGCTCTCTCTCGCTCTCTCTAGCTCTCTCATTCTCTCTCGCTTTCTCTCGCTCTCTCTTTTTTCTCTCGCTCTCCCGCTCTCTCTAGCTCTCTCATTCTCTCTCGCGCTCTCTCTGGCTCTCTCATTCTCTCTCGTGCCCTCTCTAGCTCTCTCATTCTCTCTCGCTTTCTCGCGCTCTCTCGCTCTCTCTTTTTTCTCGCGCTCTCTCGCTCTCTCGCGCTCTCTCTAGCTCTCTCATTCTCTCACTCTCTCTCTGTCTCTCTCTCGCTCTCGCTCTCTCTCTCTCTCGGAAACAATTGCTTACGACAGCTAAAGCAGACGACCAAAGAGAATCGATCACCAGCGTCAATTCGTATTTTTTTTTCTCCTCCGAAATGCTCTCTGCTAGTCATTTCCCCCCATTTTCAGGCCCGTTCACGTCAATTGGCACAACAGGTGGAGAGGCTGAGGCGAGCCCAGCAGCCACCAGCTCCGGCTGCGCTTCCTGCTCCAACTCTTCTGGTGAGATCGCAGGCCCACCCTCACGCCGGCATCGGCTCTCGTAGTTCTAGTCTGCGGCCTGGGTGTCAGTTTAGCGATTCTAATCGCCAGGATCCGCGAAAAGTACCCGGATCCTTTTCAGCCGTCCGTGGAACGCCAACGACGATGGGGGCGTGCGCCGTCAAGTCGCAAATTATTCCGGGAATTCGTGGAAGTTGGCTTAACAATGGCCGTGGTATTCGCGACCTACTATATCCAACGACAATGGATTCCACCTAACCCGGTTCGTCTCACCTTTAAAGGGGCTCCGAAATCCGGTCCGATCCCCCGTGCGTTGTTTCCTGGAAAACAGCCAGGCGCGACCACGACACGACCGCGCCGCACGATCTTTTGCCCCTGTTTGGACGTGAAAACGCTTGAATTTCAAAATTCTGACGCTATTTCTGCAATCCTCATCGAATTTTGATCATTTTAGACTTTTAAATGATGAAAATTGAGCAGAGAATGGCCGAGATCGAGAGATTGGGCCTTACGACATGTAATTCCCGTGGGCAATTTGGGCTTAAACCGTCGATTTCAGTGTGAAACGTCCTGTGCAGCTCGGAGCAAGGTGTGGGTGCTACATGTCATCTTCTGGTTCTTCGGTATTAACGGTATGCCTCTCACTCGCTACCTCTCACTCTCTCTCTCGCATCTCTCTCGCATCTCTCTGTCTCTCTCTCGCATCTGTCTCTCGCTGTCTCTCTCTCGCATCTCTCTCACTCTCTCTCTCGCTTCTCTATGTCTCTCTCTCGCATCTGTCTCTCGCTGTCTCTCTCTCGCATCTCTCTCACTCTCTCTCTCGCATCTCTCTCGCATCTCTATGTCTCGCATCTCTCTGTCTCTCTCTCATCTCTCACTCTCTCTCGCATCTCTCTCTCGCATTTCTCTGTCTCTCTCTCGCATCTCTCTCGCATTTCTTTGTCTCTCTCTCATCTCTCTCACTCTCTCTCGCTCTCTTTCTCTCTCTAAATTCTATTTCCAGCCCTAATCTACAGTAGCTGTCCCCCCGAAGAGAAGACGCGTCTTTCCAACATTTTCTCCATCTATTTCCGAACGCTGAAGCGCCAATTCCTGGATTATGGCCCGTGGATTGCCCGCTTCTTTCTCACCACATATGCATTATTCTACTATATCAAGAGCCGCCAGAGCGCGCTTTAGATTTCTCTCTCTCTCGCTCTCTCTCTCCCTCTCTCTCACTCTCTCTCTCTCTCTCTCTCTCTCAAGACGCTCTCGAGGCTTCGTTTTAATCATTTAAAAAATAAATTTTCCTACGAAAATGCGCGTCGACCTTTCATCGGAGCTGGCAAAAAAACAAACGTTTGCCCCCCGGCCGGTGAATTTGTAGTTTGTATCCTGTGGTCTGGAGGCCAGTTTGGCGGCTCCTGTGAAAAACTGTGCAAAAATTGCAAAAGGCGAAGGATTGGCCGGGGGCTGGGAATCGAACCCGGGTCAGGTGGATGGTAGTTTGTAGTTTAGAAGACTTCCTTTTCTTTTTTGCAGACTTTTTACCTTTTTTCTAGAGTTTTTTCTTCTTTTATTTTTCTTAAATTTTTGTTTAAATTTGCTAGAAATCGAGAACTATTGAAAACGTTATATAAAATAGCCTCCCTCCGCTACCGATCAACCGCGGTTCTGTTGCGTTATCGGGGGGGGCGAACTTTTTTGCAGTAGTCTAAAATGCCTAATAACTTAATATGAAGTGTCTTACTAGTGTTTTTAGCGAACAAAAAAACAATATTTCAACCAGAAAAACTGTCAACAAAAATTTGAAAAAATCGCTATTTTGCTAGAAATCGATATTCTTGATACTTTTCAATAAAAATTTCTAAAGTTTTCACGTTTAAAAATATTAAAAAAACTATTTAGAAACACTGCTACTATTTGTATTAAAAAAATAATCAAATTTTTAGAAGAAAAAAACAGTGGTTTCCCTGCGCAAAGCATCAAAAATTTATTTATTCCATGAAAAACGAAAAAAAGTGGTAAAAAAGCTTAAAAACAGTATAATCTGGTATCACATGAATACTTTGATATGAATGCCGAGGAAGAGGTGAAAGAGACAAACAGCCGCCACAACGGTTCGAAGACGGCATTCCGTCAACAGGGCCTCAAAACGCTTTTGCAAAACGGAGATGGCCGTGTCATATTCTTTCATATCTGCCGCGTTGAAAGCGCATTGTGCCCATGTATCTGAAATCCTTTGTAATACCTAACAGAATCCCGAAAATCGAATTTTCAGAATCTCGGATTTTGAAAATCTCGCATTTTGAGAATCTCGAAATCTGCCAATGCTGGATTTCGGGCGCAGGCGTGCAATTTCCGGAGCCTTTAATGCTGATTTTAACCATGGAAAATTCGAGATTCTAAAATTTCGAGATTCTGAAAATTTGAGATTTTGAAAATTCGAGATTCTGAAAATTCGAGATTCTGAAAATTCGAGATTCTGAAAATTCGAGATTCTGAAAATTCGAGATTCTGAAATTTCGGTATCCGGAAAATCCAAATCCTGATTTTGGAGACTCTGATTTTCGAGATTTTCACGGATTCCTCTTTTTTGCTATATTCATCCCCAGGGAATTCCCTCGACATTTTCCTGCCTTACAAGGGAAGTGTTTTTGGCCCCATGTGGAAAATCGCTGTGTAACACACTCCAATCGATAGAGAATTGAAAATAAATGTGAGGCATGAATTTTGGTTTTTGCCCAACGCCCTCTTCTAAAAGGTGTTTAGACTTTTCCAAGGTTCTTGGAACTATCTACTGAAAATCTAACTTTTTGTTTTGTCCATTTAATTTGGATTTAAATAGCTCATCTGGTAGAGAGAAAAGAAAAAGCTAAAAAGTTCAGAAATGTTTATGAAAAAGAGCCAAAAAATATCGATTTTTCGGCCAGTCGCCGATTTTGGCTGCAAATTCGAATTTTTAGCATTTTTTTTTCAAAGTTTTTAGGTACTTTTTCTCATTTCTCTCATCTTTGTTAATATAGCTACGCATTGCTAGTACAATATTTGCTATCAAGTTACTCGAAATTTCTGGTTTTATGGGAAGATCCCCCCTTCCTTCGGGGAATCAAAAAAAGGATTCTTGGCAATGAACCTACAGTTGATAAGGCCGGTGAAAAAACCAAGGAAGCAGAGGAAGATGCACAATACCCAGACTAGCAGGGCGGCCGGAATGTATCCGGATGGCTTCGCGGATGGATCGACGACGGGGGGAGGTGGGACGATTGAATGCTGAATTGGACTCATCGCTTTCTCTCACTCTCTTTCTCTCTCTGTCTCTCTCTCTCTCTCTCTCTCTCTCTTTCTCTCTCTCTGTCACTCGCTCTATCTGTTTGCCTCTCTCACTCTCTCTCACCATCTCTCTCACTATACATCACTCTCACTCTCTCACTATCTTTCACTCTCTCTGTCTCTCTCTATCTCTCACTCTCTCTATCTATCTCGATCTTTCTCCCTCTCTCTCTGTCTCTCTCGCTATCTCTCTCTCGCCACTGACCTGACCACATCGAAATAGCCATGCGTTGAACAAGGAAAATCCAGTTACTGCCAACACTCCGCCGCCGACACGGATGGCGACGGGTAGCTGCTGACCATACATTCCTGAAAAAATATAGAATTACGGCAGAGAGAGAGAGAGAGCAACAGAGAGAGAGCGAGAGCGAGAGAGAGAGAGAGACAGAGAGTGAGACGAAGGAGCTATTTTAAACCTATTAGCAAAGGTCGAAAAACTTAAACTGTTTGGAAAGCCTCAGTCCATTAGCTACTGCCGCTGTTAGGGAGAGAGAGCGCGGGAAAGAGAAGCACGATGTCGCAGACCCCGATATCGGCCACAAAAAATGGCGCGAAAGCTGGGCGATAGATGCCCTGGGGGCTGATTACGGGCGGCAGATCACCCGCGAATATTGCTATTATTGCCATACGTCTTTGCCATTGCCATAGGTTTGACGCCAACGAGTCATTTTGGTGTTTTCTGGCTTGATTCTTTTTTCTGAATTTTGCGGCTCTCTCGCTTTCTATCGCTCTCCCTCTCTCCTCATTCTCTCACTCTCTCTCACTCACTCTCTCTCCCTCTCTCCCTCTCTTTCTCTCGCTCCCTCGGAAAGTATCCAACCTTTCCAGGTGTCATGTCGGCAAATGACGAGGATTCGGACGTTTCGTCATCCTGGGATCCAGCCGACCTGCCGATTCGACGACGGCAGGGTGAATCGAGTTATTATTGCCTATAATATGGTTATTTTAGCGAATGAGGATATTGAAGAGGTACGGCGACAATTGAGGGATGAACAGGTGAGGAATATCTCTCTCTCTATCTCTCATCTCTCTCCCTCTCACTGTATCGCTCGCTACCTCCCGCCCTATCTCTCTCTCACTCGCTCTCGCTCTCTCTCTCTCTGTCTCTCTTTCACTCTCGCTCTCTCTCTCGCTCTCTCTATCTCTCTATCGCTCTCTCCTTCTCTCGCTCTCCCTCTCTCTCTTTCTCTCTCCTCTCTCCCCCTCTCACTATATCGCTCGCTACCTCTACCCCTATCTCTCTCTCTCTCCCTCCCTCTCTCTCTCTCTCTCACTCTCTCTCTCTCTCTCCCGTCCCAAATGCTCTCTGCCAGCCAGTTTCCCCGATTTTCAGGCCGATTCCCGTCAGCTGGTCGAACAGAATGATTGGCTGCACCGAACCTACGCTCAGGTGTGAAATTTTCGACGTTCTTCTGGACTGACCGCCTCAATGACCCAAGCGGTCAAAATTTTTCAATTATTTCAGTTAGTTCAATAATTTTATTGCAGCCATCGGCCTATCGTGAACGCCCCCACGGCGATCCCAAGGACATCCAGGTCCCGTTTCTAGCCTTCGTCACCTTCTGCGCCGTTTTCGGCATCACACAGGTTCTCGAAATCCGGTGGATGCCGCAACAAACGGTAGATTAGATTCCGAATATGTATGGGGCGGGGGGTTTGCGTAACGTCGCGTAACGTTGCGCAGCGTAACGTGGCATTGAGTAGCGTAACGTAGCGTAGTAGCGTTTCGCATCGTTGCGTAGCGTTGCGTTGCGCAGCTTTTACGTAGCGTTGCGTATCATAACATAGGGCGTCGTAGCTTTGCTTAGTTTAGCGTAGCGCAGCATTTACGTAGTGTTGCGTGGCTTTTATGTAGCGTTGCGTAGCGTAACGTAGCATGGCGTCGCGTTGCGTAGCGCAGCGTTCCGTACGCTGAGTAGCGTTGCTTAGCGTAACGGAGCGTTGCATTGCGTAAAGTAGCATTCCGGAGTGTTGCGTAAGGTCCCGTTGCGTAGCGTAGCGTAACGTAGCATTCCGTAGCGTTGCGTAGCGTTGCGTAGCGTTGCGTAGCGTTGCGTGGCCTTGTGTAGCCTTACGTAGCCTTGCGTAGCCTTGCGTATTGCGTAGCGTAACGTATCACTGACGTGATCATCAAAATGGGCGTAAAAACCGCTGCGTTTCAGTGTTCGACGTCAGCGTGGGATCGCATATTGGTATTCGCCCTCCACATTTTCGTCTGGTTCCTCGCCCTCATCGGTAACGCTTCAATTTCAACACAAAATTTTCGGTTCTTTCGCATTATCGGGGGGCAAATTTTTCTTAGGATCGAATTTTTCACGTATAAATAGGGGAAGTGTTCTTAAACTCTTTTCCACTGTTTCTAAACGTACAAACTTGACAAATTTTTGCCCAAATTCAACCTAAAAAATTTTTCTAAGCTTTTATATTAATTTTCCACGTAAAGGGCCTCGAAAGTCAAAATTGGTGCCAGGGCGATTGAACCTACTCGCCAAAAAACGGATGGTTCATTGCCGAGAAGTACCAAAAAAGTGATTTCGTCGCGAAAAACGCCAACTATTTGATTGTGCGGGTTTACATGTCGTAATGCGTTGTAAGGCGCCCAATCTATCGATCACCCGGCCATTATCTCAGCAATTTTCATCATTAAAAAGTCTAGAATGATCAAAATTCGATGAGGATTCCAGAAATAGCGGCAGAATTTGGAAATTCAAGCGTTTTCGCGTCCAAACAGGGACAAAAGATCATGCGGCGCGGTCGCGTTGCGGTCGGATTTGGCTATTTGCCAGGAAACAACGCTGAGGGACATGGAATACATTTCGGAGCCTTTTTAAACTACTAGGCGCGCGCGCAATAGCACCCAAAAACTCGACCTCCCGCCGCCCGATGTCTAGATCAAACTTTTTCAACAGTAATTTTTGCAGGATTGGTGTATGCTAGCTGTCCCGCCGAAGAAAAGAAGCATCTCACCAACATCGTACTGATCAATTTTCGAAATATCAAGCGGCAATTCATGAAATATGTGCCGGGGGTTGGGCTCGTTGCCCTCGTGATTTATGTTTTCGATAAGGTTTTCAGTTGAACTGCAATAAAACGAGATTCTATAAAAACTTCTCTGGAAGCACCGAGTGGGAGAGAGAGATAGAGAGAGAGCGCGAGAGAGACAGAGACAGAGAGAGACAGAGAGAGAGAGAGAGAGACAGAGACAGAGAGAGAGAGAGAAACAGATACAGAGAGAGAGAGAGAGACACACACACGAACGGGGAATCAGTCAAAATCTCGAAAATCAGAATGGGTCTAAAAGCCTCGGAAAATGCGGAACATTGCGTACAGTTGCGTAGCGTAGCGTTACGTAGCATTGCGTCGCGTAATTGCGATTTGGGTGTGAGAACGATTTATCGAGAAAATGTGGGGGTATTGCGGGCGAGAGATCGGAGATTTTGAGAGGGGCGAGAGATCAGGGTTTTCCAGAGAGGTTAAAGAAAAAGCGTGATGTGTTAAATGTTTAAACTGACAACCAATTTAACCGGAAAACAGCATATCATAGTATGGCGGTGACATTTGGGGTTCGTAGAAGACGGACGGCGCCATTCGCCAGTGTCGCTTCGCCGGCTGCAAAATTTCTTTTTTTCATTTTTACTAATTTTTTCAAGCATACTGTATTTTAATAAATATTCTAGAAATATTTGGAGCATTTTTAAATTAATAAAAATTCATTTTAAACAAAAAGTTTGAATTTTTGTAAAAATAACTTTTTAATTTGTAAATTTCGATTTTAGGGATTTGCACGTGTAAATTGAGTTGAATTAGGGCATCTAAAAAATTATTTTCGTATTTTTAACCTATTAAAAACTATTCAAAAATTAGATCTGAAAAAAGTTTTAAAACACGAAAATTATTTTTATTCGAAATTTTAAATTTTAAAACTCTGCAGCGTACGTTGCGCTACAGTACGCCACCGTAACGCGCCGGTTGCGCCAAAAACTGGGGCTTACGATGAGATATCCGGAGGAAGAGTCGTCGAATTGTCTGGATTGTGGGCCGGCATCGGGTCCGCCCTGTATCAACAGCTCGTACGGATCCATACTAGAAACAACGTGTTTTCGTCTCTTTCTTTTTCGATTGTTGCGCGAAACTGTTTTTGCTCGATTTCTTTGTGAAAAAAATTCCCAAAAAATGACTCCCCCTCCCCACAAATGTGGCCGTTTTTGACGATTCGGGTATCTATCGAAAGCTCTCGGAAAGGGCTTATTTTCAAAATGTCGAAATTTCATAATGTCGAAATTCAGAATGTCGAAATTTACATAGGCTAATATTACCGGTGAAACCGCCAAATACTAGCCAAAAAAATTTTCCACATTCTTTTTTTATCTTATTTCACGACAACATTTTTTTGCCTAGAATTCGGGGACTTTACCGGGAATTTTAGCTAATGCAAATTTCGACATTATGACATTTCGACTTTATGAAATTTCGACATTATGAATTTGGACATTATGAATTTCGACATTTTGAAAATAAGCCGTCCACCACCATGGGGGGCTTTTTAGAAAAATGGCATTTTAAGAGCTTTTAAGCCTTTCCTGGCAGCCTAACGACAGCTTTTTGAAAGCCATTTGCGGAAACACAGCTTTGATCGCGCTTCAACCGGTTAAATTGAGTTTTTGCATGAAAAACCAAAAATCGATCAAAAATTCCGAAATCTCAAAAATCGGAGTGATGTGCTGGACTCGCCTTTTCGAGAGCTTTCGATAGATGGCTAAATCGTAAAAAACGGAAATGTCTGCGGCCGGATAGGTTCGAAGTCCCTTTAAAAGCTAGGAACCGAGGACCGAAATTTCCAAACCGTCCCCCAACCTGTAGAAGCCGACGCGCTGATATCGGCACGTCGACAATTGGAGCAGCGCAAACACCGCACACACAAATAATGGTCGCCACATTTTTCGGGCTCTAAATGCCTGAATTTACATGTGAAAAACTGAGAAAATCGACGAGAAAACAATTAATTTCCTCAAAGAATCTCTGCTAGCCCGCCCTATCCCCACCTCAACGCTCTGAGCGTGGCGCAGTCGGTAGAGCGGCGGTGTTCAAATCCGAGGGGTCGAGGGTTCGACCCCCGGCCGCGGCAAACTTTTTGCTTTTTGAGATTTGGTACGCGTTTCGATGAAAATCGCCAAACTGGCCTCCAGACTACAATTTACAATCGTTATCGGGTGGCTACAGGCTACAACCGCCACCCAGCGGGCCCGGAACCCCGATCTAGCAGAGATTCTTTAGGAAATGAATCGAGGAGGAAGTAGCGGGGTGGGGGGTGACTCTACGGTTCGTATCGTCAGCTTTGCGCGGTTTTTAAGTCGAATTAGGAGGGAAATGGGGAGGGGAGGGAGAAGTACGTGGGTGTACGGCAGGGGGGAGTGGTTCCCTAATTCGTGTCCCCTGGGGACCACGAAATGAAGACGAATCGGCTGCCTTTTCGAGGCCTTCCGATATTCGTCACCCACCAAACACCAATTTATATAGTTTTAACGGAAACGGCAAACAACTAGGATAAAAGCAAAGCCGCCGGAAGTCGAACCCGGCTCGTCAAATCCACGATTTTCAGGTTGGAGAGCGTCAACTGGCTGTCAGTTTGGCGATTCCCGGCGGTGATTAGGCAAAATCCGCAAAAATCAAAAAGATTGGCGCCGCCGGGAGTCGAACCGACTGGGTGGCAGTTTGTAGTCCGTAGTCACTAACGAGCGTAGTTTGTAGTGTGGCTAACAGCTTGGTTATATCCGTCAAAATCCAGATACAAATCTTAAAAAGCAAAAATTTTGGTTCGGCCGGGACTCGAACCCCGACGCCCAGCTTCGGAGACAGCCGCTCTACCGACTGCGCCACGTCGATCGGAGCGGGAGGGGCAGGCAAGCAGAGATTCTTTGCGGAATGGCTAGGGATAAATAGCTTTTTTGTAACAGTTTTGGCAAATACTCGTGCCATTTGTCGTGCGCTAAGGCCATTAGTCGCCCCTTTCGTCGATGGGTGTATCGCGGAATTAGCCTCCCGTTTTTCGGGGGATTGGGGGCAGAGAAGCGGACGTGTATGTATATCTATAGATGGATGGAAATGACGCATTGGGGAGGGGGATGGAGAAGGACATATTCGCCGCCTTATTCATCAACGACATTTTGGGGGGAGAAGCCAATTTGACCTACTACATACGCCCGACCCATTTCATAATTTTCCGCTTTTAGACAAGCCATTTCCCACGCGATCGCGAGGAGAATCGCTAAGCTGACTGCCAGACTGTAGACTACAATAGGTAGGGTGACCGACTATAGGCTACAAACTACAAAATTTCAACTAGAAGGCTCGGGTCCGACCCCCGCTCGCCGTAAACTTTTTGGTTTTTGGCATTTAAGACTCGATTTTGGTGAGAATGGCTAAACTGGCCTCCAAACTACAGAATACAATCGTTATGGCGAGACTGCAGGCGACAAACTACAAATGTTTGCACAGAAGGTCCGGGTTCGACCCCCAGCCGGTCCCAAGCTTTTTGCTTTTTCGAAATATCGTCTAAATTTTAGTGTAAATCCCTAAACTGGCATCCAAACTACAGGCTACGAATCAGCGTGGGCGGGCAAGGGGGTGAAAAGTGAAAAGGAACAAGTAAAACGGAGAAGTTCCCTGGGGAATGCCAAAAAAACCCCAGGAGTTGAACAAAAAAACAAAGGCTTGTTTATCGGGTGATTTCAGTATCCAAAAAATTCTCCAAATGATCCCCGCTAGCCTGCCCGGCCGTCAAGAATGCGCAGAAAAGCTGCGGAATCGAGATGGAAATGGGCTAGGATTGTGGGCTCTGGTGGATCCACGCCTCCGGCAGGCCATCTATCCAGCTGGAAAAAGAGCAGTGGGGGAGAAGCCGCTCACCCCAAATTACTCGACCACACCCCCGGAGGACCCAGAAAATCCAGGGGCCCACCAGTGAAAAGTGGCCCTTCAGCGAGGCTGAAAGCCAGCTTAGAAATTCCCATAGAAAACCAGGCTAAAAATCCAAAAAGCAAAAAGTTTGCCGCGGCCAGGGGCCGAACCCGGGCTTTCAGGGCGGCGGTTTGTAGTTTGTAGTCTGCAGGCTCGATATAACCCTTGTATTTTGTAGTCTGGCCGTCAGTTTAGCGATTCCCATCGAAAACCAGGCTAAAAATCCAAAAAGCAAAGAGCAAACCCCCACAACGGCCTTTTCCGGCCAAAAAAAAAACCGAATTTCGTGCCGTGGTCACCTGGAAAATGGCTGTAATTGAAGTCTCGTAAAACTCGTCGTGCAAAATTCAAAAAATCCGCCATAACATCAATTTATTAAGATAATAATGATAATAATGGTAACCACACAAAAATCCGAGGCAGTAAATAGAGCAGAGAGGCCAGAGGGTCGAGCAAAAAGAAACAGCAAAAACAAGGCCACAAAGAGGGTACGGTAAGAGAGACACGTCCAAAAATATCCGGAAATCCGTTAGAGCAATAAATATCGGGGGGAGTTCGACACATTAGAAAATGCCCTATTCCTCAAGAATTAACGCACTCGAACTCGAAATTAAATTTTAAAACGAAATCGCGCGAAAAAACCGTGAATTTTGCCGGTTTTGTCGAATTATCGGGGCGGGGGAAGGGGCGAATTTTTTTGTAAACGTCTAGAAATTCCCAGAAACTTTATAGGAAGTATTTTAACACTGTTTTTAGTGGAATAAAACTATAATCGAACAAGAAAAATTATTTAAACAACGTCAAAACATTTTTAAGGTCGAAATTTTGGTCTGAAATCGGCGATTTTTGTCGAAAAATCGATTTTTGTATTTTTAAAGCAAAATTTGTGGTTTTTAGGTTTGGGAATGGCAAAAATCGCTTAGAAACACTTGCGCTATTTATATTTGAGAAATTGGATCACTAGAAAAGGCCCCCCCCCCCCCCCGATAACGCGAAAGCACCCGCATTTTTTCCGGTTTTTCCGTTAGTTTTTGATTAGCAAAAGGTTACAAGCCAGTTTTTTGTGTTGAGCAATTGGATATAGCAGAAATGAGGGGGAGGAGAAGACGCAGAGAAAGAGCACGAGGGTACCGGGAGCAACAGCCACAATCAGCAAAAAAATTATTATGCAAATTGCGAGGAAGGAAAGGGAAAGGTGGGTGATTTTCTGGCGAAAGCTCGGGCGCAAAAAATTCTTTCCACACAAAAAAATTGCCAAAATCGACGGTACTGTAGCGTAAAATTGGTCCGAACTGTGAGAAATTAGCTTCCTAAAAAGAGCAAAATAAATGTGATGTTTTGGTCGGCCGGGGGATGTGGAGCACGAGCAGAGGGGAGGGTAGCATGAGGAGATTATGCGGGTTGAGGGTCGGGTGTCCGGGAGATTGTCTGCAGCTCGGCGGCCATTTGGCCGAAAGAAGGGCGGTCTTGCGGCTGGAGGGACCAGGCTTTTGTCATCAGGCGGGTGATCTGGAAAAGAGATTTTTGAAAAAATCTATGCCAGACTGCCCCATTTCCTCAAAGAATCGCTGCTAGCCTGTCCCTCTCTCCATTCCTCAAAGAATCGCTGCTAGCCTGCCCCGTTTCCCAACGCAAACAACGTGGCGCAGTCGGTAGAGTGGCTGTCTGCCAAGCTGGGGGTCGAGGGTTCGAGTCCCGGCCGCGCCAAATTTTTGCTTTTTGGGATTTTTATCTTGATTTGACAGAATAGCCTGCCCCTTCAATTCGCCGAAAAATCGAACCTCATTGGGGCATCCCTCTGGGGCCTCCATGCGGTAGCCACGCTCGATATGGCGGACGACGTCTTGGATCGGCTGAAAAAATCTAATCTAATCAAATCTAACGGGAGAGATAGATAGAGAGAGAGAGAGAGAGAAAGATAGAGAGAGAGAGAGAGAGAGAGAGAGAGAGAGAGAGAGAGAGGGAGAGAGAGATAGCTAGAAACACGGCACGCGGGAAGCTAAAAACTAGATCTATTTTAGAGGAAGGAGAAGGAGGGGGTATTTTCTCACACACGATACATACCGAACGGCCATCACCACCCTGAAAACAGAGACAACGTATTTTGAAGGAGAGGGATACGGTAAGTGGGTCGGGGTATAGACGGTTTTTGCTGGAATGCCAAGAGCAGAGAAGCAGAGTGGGTGAGAAATTAAAGGGACGTGTAAGTAAGGGTGGGTAGACGGAAAAAGCTACTTACAATGCGTGGGTACGGCACTCTCCCAAACGAGAAGATCTCCCACAGCAGCACCGCGAATGACCACACGTCGCTTTTCGTCGAGAATTTCTGAAAAAGGGGGGTCTTAAAACTAAAAAACTAAACTTTTTCGAGGTCAAAAAGCTTAAATTTAACTAACTTAAATTGGTATTAATTAATTGGTAAAGTATCTTAAACCGTAATCCGCCAAACTATCCTAAAACCCTTACCGAATGGCGCAACGCCTCCGGGGCCGTCCACTTGATCGGGAATTTTCCGCTGGCCGAGTCTTGCGTCGCCGCGTGCGCCTTCTTCGCCAGCCCAAAGTCGGAGATCTGAAAAAAAAATTTTTTTTCTAGAAAGAAGTCTATAATATAAATTTTCTAGAAAGTATAAAAAGCCTTTCAATACGGTTTCTAGGAAAAAAAACTATATTTTAGCTAGCAAATAACTAAAAATTTAAAAAATGGTGAAACCTCGAAATTTTGGCAAAAAAGTTCGGTCGAAAGTTTCGGTCGAAAAATCGATTCTTTTTTTCGTATTTTGGAATAAAAATTGCTAATTTTATAAGAATCTAAATCAACTAAAAAAAATTATAATTCATAATAAATTCGAAAAGGAACCTTTGCGACGAGCCCATCATCGAGCAGTATATTCCGGGCGGCGAGATCGCGGTGGACGATTTGTCGACTCTCCAGATAGCACATCCCCTGGCAGATGTCACTGAAAATGAAATAAAATATTTAAAAAGTCACAAAAAGTTATTCGAACATTTAAAATAACTCTTTTTAAAGCTAATTAAACCTCAAAAAGCTTCTAAAAAATGCAGAAACGAGCGTTTAGAAAATGAGGCGCCGCTCTCGAAATTTAATGGCCTATCGTCAATTTAATTTAATAAAGCTGACGAAAAATACGAAAACAAACATTGAAAACTGGAGAAGATGGGCCCGGTCGAGTTGATGACGACCGCGGGATCGCAGAAAATCCACGAGATTCCCGTTGGCCATATATTCGGTGAGCATGAAGACGTCGCAGTCATCTACCACAACGCCCACAAGACCGACCAGGTTACGGTGCGAGACGTCACTTAAAAGTGTGTCTTTAACTTGATTTCGGCGTCGTTTTTTTGGGCAAAATCACAGAAATGTCGGAATATCCTGTTTTCTTATTTCTAAAACGCGGCTCTTCAGTAAAACGTAATAATTTGCGGGTTTTCGAATGGCACAAACTACGGTGCTTTGGCAATATCGGGGGGGGTCCTAAACGTCCCGAAATTTCCGCTAACGTAATAGAAAGTATTTTCATGGTGTTTTTGTTAAAATTTAACCATATTTCAAGGGGGGGGGACCGTAGAAAAAACGTCAAAAATTGAAATTTTGGTCGAAAAATCGATATTTTTGTATTTTTACCGAAAATTTGTAAAATTCTGACGCTTAGAAATAGTTAAAATGGTGTACCGCCGGCTACAAACTATAAATTAAGCCCTCCCAAAACGTACACCATAAACCGGGCCTCGTCGAGCAGACATTCACTCATCCCTCCGCCAGCCACTCCTCGTTTCGTCACCTTCACCGCCACTTTTCGATCGTTATGTATCCCGAGGAGCACGTCTAAAATACGGTAATTCGGGCTGAGTTTAGGGGAACGTACCCCCGAATTCTCCATGGCCAATGATGTCGCCGAGCTTGAGCTGTGATGAGGGGATGACCAGGCCGGCCGACCGGAAGATTTTCACCTTGTCCTCGAGTTCTGTCTGAAAAAAGCGGTCTTTAGAGGTAAAAAAACTTGGAATAGCGATTTCTGCTTCCAATCCGCGTGTTTTCAAAGTTTTTCGTCAAGAAAATCGATAATAAAGCTCTACGAAATTTTCAGTGTCCTCAAATAAAAATAATTTCGACTAAAAAAGGCTATTTTTTCGGTAATACATCTAAAATAAAAATTCTGCGTTTTTCCAAATACGAAAATTACGGTGAAAACTCTACATTCTTTGCTAATAAGGCTACAAAACTGTACAAATTCATAAAAACTCGATTTCCGCTGAAAAACGGCTCTGTGTCAGTGAGAAATGCGTAAATTCGGGCTCGAAGGAGCCATTTTTAACGCAAAACTGTAAATACCTGTGTGCTGGGCATGCGAAAGGCCTCGTTGATGATTGGGGTGACGAGGCGGTGGCACAGCCCGTCCGCATCACGTTTGTAGTGCTGAAACGTGGGGTTGATGGTGGTTTTAGGTCAAAAAACGTCAGAACCTATTCCCGAAAACGCACCGACACGAGCTGGGTGAGATTGCTGAAGAACTCCTCGTTGTCGCACGTCAGCTGGCCGCCCGCCTGGTAGATCCGGTAGTGCTCCACCTGGAAAATTGGTTTTTTTTACGAATTTAACGACGTCTTAAGTTGTAAAGTTGTAATTATCACGCTAAAAACCCTCATAAAGCTGTGTTTTGAGTTTTTTAGTTATTTTGAAGGTTTTCTACAGATTTAGCGCGATTTTGCTATGTAAAATTGTAATCATCACGTAAAAAACGATTTAACTCGTTTTTTCTAGGTAAAATCACTATATAATCGTAATCATAACACTAAAAATCGTCATAAAAGTACAAAAATTAGCTTTATGGCTTTTTTACGAATTTCTACGTAACCACGTCATATTAGGGCAGTTTTTCATTCACTTTTCTAGACGAACCTTTGCCCGATAGGCCATAGAGAGGGTGTAGTCGCCGGGGTAGTTGGTCGACTCGCGCACCAGGAATGTCCCGTCGGCCTTGTGTTGCAGTAACCTGAAAAATTTTAGAAATTAAACAAAATATCGCTAAATCTAAGCGAAAACACGCTTATAAGGATTTTGCCGTGCCGGCATTTCAAAAAACTATTTCACAAATCTTTCAGCTCACAAAATCTAGTGACATCGCGTTGTTTAAAACAAAAAAAACGTCGAAAACTTCAATATAAAGAAGACACTCTAAAAAGCTATTAGAAAACTTCTAATAATCTTTATTTTGCTTCTGGGGAAATTTCCGCGCAAAAAAAATCCATTAATTCAGTCCGAACTTTGAAGGAAATCAAGGTTTTGGGCCTAAAAACGCCTCAAAATTCGAAATAAAAAATGGGCTTGAAGCCCGGAAGTGGCTTCCGGAAAGCCTAAGCTGTTACAATCGAAAAACGGACCGTTCGGTGCGCTCGCGGCTGAGATCCTTGTGGAACCAGGGCATGTGGATCGTCTGCTCGGCCTGCCGCTCGATTGGAACCTGAAAAAACGGGAATTTTAGCCAAATCCAGACGACTCACGTTGAATTCTCGACTGGGCACCCGTTGCGGCGGATCATGCGGAGGGCCCAAATGGTCGGCAGAAGCCGAGCGGATGTAGTCGACGTGGATGAGGCCGTCTTCGAGGTTCATGTTCCGCGCCCGGAACCACGCCGGGTCCTGAAAAGTGGCCGTTTTTCAGCGATATTATCGTAATTTAAGCCAAAGTCGTCTTTTTGAAAAGTGGAAAAATGGCAAAGAATACTAAAAATAGCCTGGAAATCTAAAAAAAGCAAAAAACAAAGCGCAATTTCATCAAGAACAGTCAGTTCCCAAGGTCTGAAAGCATCAATAAGCTAAATTTGAACGTGATCCGCTGGAAAATCGGCTAAAAATATTTTTTAGCGACCGTAAGCCAACGCCATCATTTTGGAAAGTTGACAACTCGAAACTCCAAGGGGAAATCGATAAAAATACGATAAATACCCGGAAAACTTAAGCAAAAAATCCTAAGGTTTTTAAAGTGTAAAGCAGCGGATTCGAGGAGCTTATTTCAACAAAAAAAACCAGAATTCTGTGAGTCAATCGAAAAATCAGCGGGGTAATAATAAAGAGACACGCGGGGGAACGAGATTTTTTTGAGGTGCTCATCATCGACCTGATATCCCCCATCCGGGTCGCCATTTCTCCCCTCCACGAATCATCAAGCGAAAGCGAGCCAGCCAAAAAAAGACGCGTATCCGGGTGGTCGGGAAAGGAATTGGGCTGAAACTTACTAGACGCTCCGCTAGATTACGTTGCTTTAACTTAAACCTGCGCTTAACTTACAACTTAACTTGTTAGCTTGGCCGATCCTATGCCAAAGATGAAGCTTGAGCTCAAGCTTTGCTGATCATGGCTTCGTTTTAGCCTAGGACCCAGCTTAACTTAAATCATAGAAGCTTATCGGCTTAGGCTTTGTTTCGTGGTATTGAAGCTCAAGCTCAGGCTTAATGCGCTTCCTTTCCTAAGCTTTGGGCTTAAAAACCGTAGTTTGACGCGTCATGTAGCTTCGGCGCCTATACTTTCGCCCTCCACGCCCAGCTCGTCCGAGACAATCAAGTTGATAGCCGGCCGAAAATGAGTCATTTTGACGTGTCAATGGGGAAGATTAGGAAAGCTTTGTGAAAGCAAAAGAACAACAGAAAAGGCGAAAATAGGTCGATTTTCGGCCAAAAAAAAAACCCGCTAAATTCGTATACTTTACCGGAAATCAGTAAAATAAAAGAATTCCGTTGGCAACGTACCGCGGTTGGGGCGGTGATGCGGACGCGCTCGTCTTTCCGGAAGACGACGTCGTGTTGGGCGCCGCCTGGCGACACCGATCGCGTCACCACCACTTCGGAACCTAAAAATCGTCGCTTGTACGTTTATTTTCCGCAAATTGCCACTGCTAGGATGCCCCAAGTTCCTTTTAATTCCTGCTTCTTCTCTGCGACTCGCTCCCAAAAGTTTAATTTCCTCAAAAATCTGTGCTAGCTTGCTTCAGTATGGGTAATTTCCGCAAGGATCTCTGCCACGTTTCCCCAGAAAGCTAAAACTCCGGAGATCTAAATTCTAGCCTGCTGTTTTCAGGTTAATTTCCCCAAAAAGCCTATCCCGAAAGGTAGAATTTCCACAGCAATCTTTGCTAGCCTACCCCAAAAGGTAGAATTTCCTCAAAAATCTCTGCTAGCCTGCCCCCTTTCCATTTCCTGTAAAATATTTGCTAGAGCGCCCGCAGTTCCGCAAAGCATCACTGCTAGCGTGCCCTACCTGGCGCTAGGAGCTGTTTGGCGGCCCCGGCTCGATATCCATTTTGATTTGATGGCGGTGCAAAAGCGGATGTGCCCGCGTGATAGGCATTATTGTATGAAGAAGACGATGGGAAGCCGCTCATCCCTCCATTCAGCCGGCCGCCTCTGCAAAACGAGGTCAGAATTTTTAAAATGTTCAAGTAGATTTTTTGAGATTGAAGATAGCAAAGCGTCTCTGCTAGCTTGCTTCCGCTCAAACGGTCTCTGCTGGCTCGCCTGGTTTGAAATTAGCGATTTTCAGGCAAAAACGACAGAAATCGGCTCAAAAATTGGCAAGGGCGTGTTTTTTTTTTTGAAACGGCGGGTCAAGAGCCATGTCGTGAATTTTCTCAAAGAATCCCCGCTAGCCTGCCCGCGGGGCCAATGGCCTCTGCTAGCATGCCTTCCTGGAAAACCATAGATTTTCGGGCAACTTACACGGTTTTTTCAACAAAAAACGTCCAAAAAATGTTGGTATTTAGATGATCTTCGACAAAAAAGCCCCATTTTTCGCAAGGAATCTTCGCTAGCTTGCCTTGGCTCAAATGGTCGCTGCTAGCTTGCCTGCCGTGAAAACTTGGAATTTTTTCGTTATTTCCGAGTTTTTATAAGCTAGCCCTAAACCAATACCCAATTTTCCGCAAAGAATCTCTGCCAGCCCTCACCTGTATGGATATGGGGTCATTTCGGCGACCTGGGTGACTTTAATAAAGTATATTAGTTCAGTAAATACCGCAAAGGTCGTGAATAGCCACTAATAACGGCCCTACTGGTCAAAAGCCGGCGGCAAAATTTTTTTAGGAAATTCGAGTCGAGGGCGGGGAGAGCGTAAAGCCGGCGGGATTTCGTCGGCTGGCCCCGGCCACCGTGGTGATGACTCAAATTGTACAACGCCCAGAAATCGCCCCGTTTTTGAGGGGGCAAGCTGGCAGAGAACTTTTGGGAAGCCGATTGGCGGTTTTAGAGGGGTTTAACTATGTAGAAACCTTAGAAAAAGGTTAAACATTCGAAATTTTGGCGTAAAATCTGTATTTTTTTTTGGATCTTCAGAGAAGTTGATGAATTTAGTTTAGTCAAATGAAGTTTAAAAACCCTCTATATTTTTATCAGCAAAAATCGCGCTTAAAAAGGGTACAATGCCCGGAAACTGGGGCCATTTTCTAAGGGGGCAAGCTGGCAGAGAACTTTTGGGAAGGCCGTTGGCTGTTTTAAGAGTTTTAAGGCCAAAAAAGCGGTTTCCGGCCCAAAATGAGGCGTTGGACCTGGCCACGGGTCTAAAATATCGCTAGTGGTTACAAAATCTAATTTTCGGGCATGATTTTAGACGTCTTGAGCCCAGTTCGACTTTGCGAGTGTAGAAAATATGTGGTTTTGGGGTCCGGTGTTTAACCTGGCTGGCAATACAGGGTTTAATCGAAAAATATAATTTAAATTATATAAGAAACCGGGGGAAAAGAGTGATAAGTTGAGTACAGGGGCGACGCCCTGGCGTGCAGGCAGGTAGGGATGGACGGGCGTTGCGTGCGGGGTGAGAGGGAGAGAGTGGGGGAAATGGGGAGGGGGAAGAGAGGGGATAGGTAGAAGAGAAACGGAGAGAGAGAGAGAGAGAGAGAGAGAGAGAGAGAGAGAGAGAGAGAGAGAGAGAGAGAAGGAGAGAGAGACCGTCTTTGAAGGTACCTGATCGCCTCAAGGCCAAATATATACCGGGGAGGCAGGGAAGGAAGGGGGAAATGTCCTCCATCCTATACTACCACACACACTGCCGGCCAGCTAGCAGAATGACCGCAGGAAAACGCGAGAAAATGGCCGGAAAACGGAGATTAAGCCCATTTTTGTTAAAAATCTCTAGAAAGCCTGTCGTTGAATAATTAATTTCCGCAAGAATCCCTGCTAGCCTGCCCTGTGAAGCCAGATTTCCGAAACAATCGATGCTAGACTGCTCTATGGAACCAAAATTCCAAGGCAATCTCTGCTAGCCTGCCCTGCAAAACATTCATTTCCCCAAATGATCGCTGCCAGCCCTGTGGCTATCAATTTTCGCAATAATCTCGGCTAGCTTGCCCTGGAAAGCCCATTTCTACAATGGTCTCTGCCATCCGACCCGAAAAAAACCCTCATTTCCGCAAATGATCACTGCTAGCCCGCCCCACCAGCCTGCCCTGTGAAGTCGAAATTCCATAGGGAAGTCTGCTAGCTTGCCCTGCAAAGATTAATTTCCACCAAAATCTCTGCTATACTGCCCCGTTAGGACGATTTTTCAGAATAATCTATGCTAGGATGTCCTGTAAAGCCCAATTTCCGCAAAAATCCCTGCTAGCCTGCGCTGAAAAAAAATGAATTTCCACAAAAATTTCTGCTAAATTTCCCGGTAAAAATAAATTTCTACCAATTATCTCTGCTAGCTTGCCATGTCCAGCCAATTTTTTAGAAGCAGACCTTTGGGGTGTGATTTTCCAGAGTAATCTCTGCTAGCCTACCCCTTCCAGAGCTTTCAGTTCCGCAAATGATCTCTGCCAGCTTGCCAGCCAACCAGCCTAAAAACACAAAAAAGTTGCGCAATTGTGGTTTGAAGCCGAACCCAAAACCGGGGCCGTTATCAGGAGCAGCAACAGCCAATATTCCCTCTTCATTCCCGGGGCGGCCAGATGAAGCCGTCGCGACACCCAAAAAAGCGGATGGTCTCCTCGATGCCCGCCGCACACTATTCCCTCTACGCATGGGCATCAAGGTCGGTTTTTAGCCTGTATTTTCCGGAAACTGGACGGAACTCCTGATTTAGTACCTCTAAAAGTAAAAAATCTCCAATTTCTACTGAAAATACAAAAAATACCGATTTTTCGACCAAAAATTGGAAATTTTGGCTGCTTTTCGATGCTTTTGCAATCGGCACTCGGTTTTTAGCCGGTGTTTTCCCTGAAAAATGGAGGGAACTCTTCTTTTACTTCTTTTAAATGTTTCATTTTCCCGAAATTCCGCGTTTTTCAAATTTTTAAAATGTACAAATTTCGATTCCCACAAGGTTGTGTAAATTTTGCGAATTAAAAACTTCTCAAAACGGCTTAAAACGCAAGCTAAAGGGTGCTCAATTTGTCGCCAATTTCGCCCACCCCGCGCCCGGCCAAAACATTGCCACGTGCGGGGGCGCGGGGTGAGCGTGTTTTTCGGGCGCGCGAGGGCGCTGGCATTGTTCCCCGCACGCGCGGGGGTTTTAGTATGCTTTTCGTTGCTTGTCAGTTTGGCGAAACCCCCGAAAAACGGCTAACCGTCTTGTATTCTACGTCTATAATTTTCCGATAAACTCGAAAAGCGCGAAAATTCCCAGAAAATTCGATGAAAAAACGCAAAAAGCCCATAATTTCGCCATTTTTTTTGGTATTTCATCAAACTGGCATGCGTTATATAGAAATTAATGAAAAACTTGTTTCAAACTTGCCAAATTCTGTTGTTTTGGTCGAGGAAAAGCCGTTGTTTGTGGGTGTGACTGGAGAGATGTCTACTCCCTCCTGCTCTTCGCACTCTCTCGTCGTGTCCCATAGTACACGATCACCGCTCCAGCTGGCCCCACCCCCCGATAATAAGCCTCCACGAGAAGCTCGCCAATTTTCGCCGATTTCAGCCGATTCCCGTCCGTTTTGTCACTATATTTCTTGACTACGCCTCCAAATCACGAAATATACATTACGACATGTAAATCTGGGCCCCGATTTTTGCTAAAAAAAAAGGAAAATCACCATTTTTAAAGGGAAACGATGCTAAATAGCTAAAAATAGTCTTTATTTGTTTTATAGCCGTTGATCTTGTAGATTTTTATGACCTGAAATGAAAATCCATTATTTCGTCATGTTTTAGACCATTTTTAGGGCTCTTTAACGCTAAAAAAGGCTGAAAAAAGCGTTGTAAAAGTTTGATAAAGCTTGTTTTTGCGCGAAAATATATAGAAATCCACAAATTTGTGACTCTCACGATGTTATCGAAGTTGCAACCTTGTGAAAAATGTCTGGCCAGGCCGCTAGGTTGTATTCACTGGATCTGACAACCCGCTGTTTGCTTTTCACGCTTTTTTTGCCAAAAAAGAAAGTAGGCAAAGGCCAGCCGAGGTGGCGCGGAGCTCGGAAAGTATCAGCTGATCCTCCGCTAGTGGCGCCATTATTTCTAGGGGGTTGGAAGGCCGTTTCACCGCCCCCCTCCCCCGTTTTTCACCGCTAACCTACTGTTTTTTGGGGGCTTTTTCGGCCTTCGTCGATTCGATTGATGATTTTCTTATAAATTTTGACACCGTTTTCTACTGGGCACTGGGCTGTTAGCGGGGGGGGGGGGACTAATTTTTTTAACTTCCCGGCTACATCTACCTGTTAATAATAAATACTGTATTTTTAGAAGGTTTTTAATAGTTTTTGATTGCTATAAACTTGTCAATAATATTTAACTGAATTTGAAAATTTGAAAATTTTGTGATTTTTAGCAACTTTTCATACAGTTTTGACAAAAAGTCAAAAATATCGCGATAAAAATGGTTTACATTCATTCTAAGGCCGTAGGAATTACTGGGAAAAGTAATTCTCCCTTTGCCAACCCCCCCCCCCCCCCCCCGATAACAGTCCAGTACCCTGCTTTTGTTTATTGATTTCTTTTCCTAATATTTTTTACCATTTTTTAGGATGAAGGTTCGGGGTACGGTGTTCGGGCTGTTGTGCATCTTCTGCCTGTCGACGCTCTCGCTGCTCCTCGTCTGGTCACTCGCCCCCACCGCGCATCGAGGCGTCAAACCCTCCAGGTATGCCTTTTTGGAAAAATTTTGATTTTTAACTGAATTTTAATATTTTTAATATTCGTAATCGGAAATTTCAACGTTTTCCTCGATCTGAGACAAGTTTTTCTGCTTTTTTTTAGTCTAGGTTTAAACGATTACGACATGACATTAAGTTCAGAAACGATTATGACACGAAATTTGAAGATTAATCGATTATGGCAGGAAATGCAAACGTTTCTCTTTGATTTTAAACAGGTTTTCTCGTTTTTTAGCCTTGGTTTAAAAGATTACGACGTGAAACTAATTTCCGAAATGATTATGACGTGAAATTAGAAGGTTAATCGATTCCGGCGCTAAATTAACTTTTTTTCCATCTCAAAAAGTTTTTACCCCGTTTTGCTGAGATTTAATAGTTTACGTCGCGAAATTATAGGTCTAAACGATTACGACATGAATTTCGAAACACCACTTGATTTTATCAGGTTTTTTTAATGTGCCAATTTCCAGATTCCCCCGCCATCTCGAGGAGTTGAAGGTGGTCGCCGAGTTTCTGAAGGACTACAGGTCGGTTTGCGTATTTCTTTGAATTTTCATTTTTTGTTTTGAGAGATGAGCACTACATCTACACATTGTTCATGTTCTCGCTGGCCTACCTCTACAAGCAGACATTCGCCATCCCCGGATCGTTCTTTATGGTCCGTTGATTTCTCGGCGTAGTTTCTGCGATTTTCGGTACTGGAGCGTTAGCGGGGGGAGATGAATTTTTATTTCCATCGATGCGTGTTGATATATAACGTATTTTTATAGCATTTTTGTATTCTTTTATTTCTATAAAGTTTTAAAAATTATTCAAAAGTTTGAAAATTCGAACGTTTTGGCCCTTTTCGACATTCGGGCTGGCCATTTTAGCGAACAAATATCTCCGTGTTACGCGCCGCTTCGCGGGCTTTCGAATGGTGCCAAAATGATTCCGCTACGATACGCCTGCGCTGAGAAATAGGCTTTTTTGCCCCTGACTGGGTTTTTTCAAAGTCATTTTCGTACATTTTCCACCAAAAAATGCTGAATTTGCGCAAATTTCAATTTTGATGTGCTTTTTGGATCTAGCTTTCTAAAATTATATAAAAATGACTTATATTTTATTTTTGAGGCATTATTATAGGTTATTGGAAAAAATGACCTGTTCAACCCCTCCCCCCCCCCCGTTAACAGCTCAGTACCCAAAAATCTATAGGCTTACTTCATCTATAAGCTTCTTACCTTCCTTCCACCGTTTTCCCGTTTTAGAATCTGCTAGCGGGTGCGTTATTCGGTCGTTGGCTCGGCGGAGTGCTCGTGTGTCCCTTGACGTCGATGGGCGCCTCTTTTTGCTATCTTCTCAGGTACATTTTTTTTGGAATTTTTCTAGACATTTAGGCGCTTTTTATTTGGCTAGAACTATTGGAAAAACGTACTTTTAGCTCCATTTGAATCTCCTGCAAAACGGCGCAAAATCGAGACAAAAATGGGTTTATTGGTTGGAAAACCTCAAAATTTCCAGCCAATTGCTGGCCATTTTCGAAAATTTAAAGCGCGGTTGTAGGCGCCGCTTCGCGGGCTTTCGAACGGCTAAAAAATTATTCCGTTACGATGCGTCTACGCCGATTGTTGCCGAAAATCGCGTTTTTTGCATATTTTATGGCAAACCGGCGAAAATTGAGCCTGGCGAGGCAAACCGGGTAAATGGCCGAAATGCCGATTTTTGCACAAAATCGCGATTTTTCGAGATTTTTAAGGAAAAACCGGCATAAAAACCGTAATTTGGAAACTATCGTAACCCATTTTTTTCCAGCTGGACGTTCGCCGCGCCGCTGCTCGAGAAATACTTCGTGGAGACGATCCGGCGCTTCAAGATGAAGGTACGCACTTTTCTGGCTAAATTATGTGTTTTTTGTAGGTTGAAGAGAACGAGCACCGGCTGCTGTGGTTTCTCCTCGGCGCCCGCATCTTCCCCTTCACCCCGCATTGGTCATTTTTTTTCAAAATTTCAGTTCTTTCGCGATATCGGGGGGAGCAACTTTTCTATTTACAAACTTTACAAATTTTGATTAAAAAGTCCAAAAAATATCGATTTTTGAAGAAACATGGCCTTTTTTCGACCAAAATGTCGGCTAAAAAAATTTTTTAGGGTTTTTAAAAAGTGTTTTCCACCTGAAATACAGTAAATTTTACCATTTGACCAGCTTTGACTTGGAAAAAGCTCCCCCCGATATTTCCAAAGCACCGGTTAACATATTTTTTGCAGGTTGGTGAACATCTCCTCCCCATTCCTCGGCGTGCCACTGCCCACCTTCTCGCTCTCCGTACTGCTCGGCGTCGCCCCCTACAACTTTCTGTGCGTGCGCGCCGGCGGGATATTGGCCGACCTCAAATCGGTGGGTTTTTATGGCTCTCTCTCACTCACTCTCCCCCTCCCTCTCTCCCTCTCCCTCTCTCTCTCTCTCGCTCTCTCTCTCTCGCTCTCAACTGGATTTTTTGCCTTCCCAGTCCCTTTAAAACGCTATTTCCAGGCATCCGACGTGCTCGACGCGAAGACGTTGTGCGAGTTGTTGCTGATCGCTCTGGTCGTGTTGGGCATCGGGATGAAGGCGAAGAAGAGAACACCTCCAATCGATGCCGATGGACAACAACAGGAGCCCCTCGTCACCACCACCCATCCACACGCATAACCCCCCATTTTAACGACACCTTCAAGAAGGGCAGGCGAGCAGAGAAAATTTGGGAATTTTTTGAAATTCTGGCATTTTTTCCACCAAGAATCTCGGCTAGCGTGCCCACCTGCGTTCCCAAATTGTCCCTGCTAGCTTGCCCCCAGATTTTGTGCAATTTCCCTGCGCTCGATTGTGATGGCGTAATCGGTTGTAATAATTCTTGTCGCTTGTTTTTTTTCTGTAGTTTGTAGCCCATTTTTTTTGTCAACATTTTCTGGCCGCTAATCTTAAATTATCGATCGGGTGTGTTGTTTTTTGTTGTGGTCTGTAGTTTGTAGTCTGTAGTCTATGAGATTTGATGTTTTTTTTTTCTTCTCTGCTTCTCTCTCGGGTCGTTTTAACCTATTTTAAAGTAATATTTATTCCACCAGTTTTCCATCTCCGTCTCTCTCTTTTTCGGGTCTTTCCTCCCCATTGATTCCACAGGGTGTCTCTGCTCGTTTGCCATCCGACTCTCGTCGTGCTAATAAATGGTACTTACCTGCCTCGAACCAATCTGAAAAACTCGAAAACTGGGCGATTTATTTAGAACAAAAGCACGTTTATGGCAATTTGCCTGCGCCTTCCTGAATTTTCAGGAACGAGAAAGTACGGTTGTTGGGCGTAAAGAATGTGGATTTTTGGAGAAATCGCGATCTTGTGCAAAAACTGAGTGCAGATTGGGGATCAGCACGAAAAATGGGTCTAGAAAACGTTTTGTATAAGGGGAAACCTTCGAATTTGTAGATTGTTGGCTGTCCCGGTACGGCGATCGGACTACAAACCACACCAAATCACGCACGGCGGAACATTGCAGCGTGTGTACGATTAGGGGGAGACCGATTCGTATTCTTCTGCCGACCCGCTTGTTTACACATCAGATTCGTTTCAATTCCTCAGAATTGTACAGAATTAATAAGCCGCCTGGCGAACTAGCAGCGATCGTTTGCGGAAATGGCCCGGAAATCGTGAAAAATCGTAATTTTCGAGAATTTATCTGGATTTTTAATATTTTGTTAGTTTTACAATACGATTTTCGAGCCAAATCCTAAAAATGAATCAACTAGGGGCCAGCTAGCAGTGACCGTTTGTGGAAATTGCCGGAAATCGTGAAAAATCGAAATTTCCTAGCGATTCTCGCGAATTTTGAGGATTTTTCTAGTTTTATAATACGATTTTTGAGCCAAATCTGATAGAATTAACGACTCGGCGGCCAACTAGCAGCGATACTTTGCGGAGATCGCCGGAAATCGTGAAAAATCGTAATTTTCGAGCTTTTCTCGCGAGTTTTTTGGGCTATTTATGGCTTTTCTAGAACGATTTCCATTCCATATCCTAAAAAGTAAATCAACCGTGGGCCAACTAGCAGCGATCGTTTGCGGAAATAACTGGCAAATTTTGAAAAATCACAATTTTTGGGTGATTCATCAGGATTTTTGAGATTGTTCTAGTTTTTCTGCACGATTTACGAGCGCCAAAAATGGGTTTTTGAAACGACTTTCCTCGTGATTTCGATGTTTTTTATGTTTTTGGATAGCTAGTTGACTTTCTAAAATGTTGTTGGACGATTTTCAGGGAGAATCGTGTGATGCACTGCTGATGGCCGACTCCTATCGATTCTACGATGACGTGCCCGTCGGATTCCAGCCGGTCAGTTATTCGGAGGGCCGCGATTCGGATTCAGAAAGCGTTTAGAAACAACGATTTTTTCAGAGCACGCCCGGCAACCCGGACAAGGACATCAGCTACGTGCCCGGTAGGGCGTTTTATGAGAAAAATCAAACTGTCTCTTTTTTTTCAGGTGAAACGGCGGGTTCGCAATGCGAAGACGTCATCTTCTACCCGTCAAACGATATGGGCAGGCATCGACTCGGTTTCAAGGTGGGATTTTCGGAGTTTTTTCTAGCCAAAATTTTTGCAGGGCCGCATCTACTGCACGAACGTGCGCCTGTGCTTCGTCCCGTACGCCAAGGGCGAAAAGGTGGGCTGAACAGCTTGAACTCGAGGGCAAAGAAACGGGTTGTCTTGACGGCTTGAAGTCGTTGGGCAAAGCGCGAACCGCAACCGCAGAACTTCAAGCCGTGAGATTGTTTGGCCGACAGATATCTCGTTTTTTTTCTGCTAGATTACGACCTGGGCGGCTCGAACTCGGGCCAGGCAAGGGCTTTCCAACTGTCTGAACGGCTTAAAGTCGTTGCACAAAGCGCATACCACGAACGCAGACCGCCGAGTCGTTAATTCATCTGACTGTTCGACTGTCTGGTAGCCAGCTGGCCCGTTTTCCGCTGGATTCCACCCTGAACGGCTCGAATTCCTCGCCCAGACCAATTCCCCCCTTTTAGCGTTCCCTCCCCCGCCGTTTCGTGCCGTTCAACGATCAGCTGGACGTGCCCCTCGTCTCGGTTCACAAAATCTTCGTCTCCGAGCCCTCCTCATCGCATGGTACGGTAACCGGCGCAGATTTTGGGGGGCCTAGCCAGATCGGAATCGACTGAACCGCTCGAAAATGTCGATTTCAGGGCTCGTCGACGTGGAGCAGTTGAAATTCCGGGAGATGACGTCGTCGGTGTCGAGCATGGATATCGTCTACGTGCTGCGGCTGATTCTCAGGGTTTGTAGCTTCACTTTTTTGGGCCGCGAAATCCGATTTTCCAGTTTTTCACGCCAAAAATTCTTATTTTGAGGGGTGTATTTTGTAGTCTAGGCTTAAAAACTTGATTACAACATTCCCTGGATGTCAGTTTGAAGCTTGAAGTTATCCTTAGGCCCCAATAGCGATATTTCCGGGATTTTACCGCTCGAAACGCCCAATTTTCAGGATCTGCGCGTGGTGGTGGTCGATCTATCCGAATCGCAGAATGCGGCCAACGTCGCGAATCATGTTCTCCACTTCTCGCGCCCCTCATCCCCCCTGCATATCCCTCAATGCGGTCAGCTGCCCGGTCAGGGTGGGCGCGGTACGTTTTTTGGCAATTTACGCCCGCGAGTTTCACGAAATCCGGCGGAAACTTTTGAAAAAGCATTTTCCCCGTCGAATTTTGCTGTCCGTAAGCTGTCATCCTTGTCAGTTTCTAATTACTATCACTTTTCACCCCTCGAGGAAACTCTAAAAAGTAAAAAAAATAATTCTAAGGTAAAAAAACGCAGGAAGTTAGCTCAAAATTTAGGAAGTTCGGTTTATAACTCGCTTCCTTTTGAATCCAGGGCACCATCCGCTGAAATGACCTACAGCTCAAAATTCCCAACAATTTACTTACATTAAAAAACTATAATAATCAAGGAAAAACAGAAAAAAGCGAGCCAACAAACGCAACGGGGTCGTCTGGGAGGCCGGGGGCGACCGGGGGAAGGGGGCGTGGCCAGGGGCTAGATAGCCCGCCCGGGCGGCCCCTCTCTCACCCGGTCCCATGGTGTAGCGGTTAGCACTCAGGACTTTGAATCCTGCGACCCGAGTTCGAATCTCGGTGGGACCTAACATTTTTGCTTTTTGGGGATTGGCTTCGGGAAACGTTACAGTACCCCGTAGTAGACTTTATTTTTTACAATTTGCAATTTTGGGTGGGTTTCGGGTGGTTTTTGATGGGTTTTCAGCGGATTTGAGTGGGTTTTAGGTTTAAAACCTAGAAAAAGTAAAATAAATGTTTTAAAAAGGTTTCATTAGTATTAAAAACTAAAATAAAAATTTAGTGCTGTACTCGGATGCGTTCGACTGGGAAAACGAGATAAAGCGCTGCCGACTGGGGCGACAGGACAAATGGCGCGTGGCCGGCCTCGTCAGCGAGGAGTTGCGCCAGCCCGTCTATAGGTAAATTCGATCTTTTTAACTGTACAAAAACTACAAACTACAGTTGTGATTTTTTCGCTTATATCTTCCCTATTAACGCTCAAAAAACCCATTAAAAATTAGAACATTGAAAAGTGTAATTTTCAAGCCCAAATCTCGGTTCTTTGGCATTATCCGGGGGGGTGGAGGGTCATTTTTATGGATATTTTTGAAATATAAATAGCGAAAGTGTTTCTAAACAATTTTCTGCTATTCCTAAACGTATAAAAAAAATACAAATTTGGTTTAAAAACACAAAAATATCTATTTTTCGAGCAAAAAGTTACGATATTTGACCACGATTTCAACGAAGAATTTTGTACGTCTTTTTTATTGATTTGCCACCTATAATTTAGTTAAATTTTAACTCAAAACTACCTAAATTTACGCTAAACTGAACAAATTAAACTAATCAATCGAGACGGCCGCATTTTTCTAGCGTACCGAACGCGGCGGCCACCGTACACGCTGTGCCCAGGTATACTGTAATGCCGGGTTAGAACGGGGCGGATCGCTTCGTATTTTTTACCATTCAGAAACGTAAAACTTTACAAATTTATTATAATAATACAAAAATATCGTTTTTCGACCAAAAATGGCCGTTTTGGTCGAAATTCGAGTTTCAAAACTGCAAAGATCTCGGCCTTTTGAAGGATCGACTTTTTCTTATAGAACTTGCGCAATTCTTTCAAAAAAGTTTCTTACTCATAAACGTAAAAACTATGCAGATTTTGATCCGAAAATTACAAAAATACCGATTTCGGTACGATGGGGTACGAGACGCTCCGCCCGGCACGCCTTGCACGCGCATTTTTTCTGTTCCACACGACGCCTGTTGACGCGTTTTTTTGTGTTCGCATGATCGGATTTGTCAGATTTCGGTTCTGGACTGTTAGCGGGGGGGGGGAGATTTTTAAAGTTTTCAAAATGCGAAAATTCGACATTTTTCTTCATTTTTCATATATTTTCACCAAAAAGTCATAAATATTTCAATATTTTGTCATCAGGTCGTGGGGAATCACAGGGAAAATTGTTCCCCCCCCCGCTAACAGTCCAGAACCCAGATTTCCACCATACCCCATTTTTTTGCAGCTACCCAATGCACGTGGTGGTCTGCGCCGAGCTCGTCAAGGCCGACATGGATCGGATGATTCCGCTTTGGAGGGGCGGACGGTTTCCGGTACGCTTCTCTTTCCGCAAAGAATATCCGCTAGCTGGCCCGCTTATAAGGTTTTTTTTAGATCTGGGTGTGGAGTCATCACAACGGGGCATCGCTGCTACGATCCGCGTTTCCGGAAAATAACGAGAACGCTGAGAAGGAACAGCAGAGGTGATTTCTCAAAGAATCTCCGCTATTTCTCTTCCGTTTCCTCAAACAATCTCTGCTAGCTTGCCCCCAATTTCAGCTTATGGCAACTGATCGGTCGTGCTTCTCCCCAGCGTGATGTGCACGAAATTCGGGTTCCGCCAGAGTACGGCCCGGCCCGGATCGCCAAGTCATTCGACGCGTTGCGTAGGCTGTGTACGATAGGTGCGTTTTTCAGGCGGGTCTCTCTCTCCCACGCTCTCTCTCTTTCTCTCTCTCTCTCTCTCTCTCTCTCTCTCTCTCTCTCTCTCTCTCTCTCTCTCCCCCCCCCCCTCTCTCTCTCTCTCTCCCTCTCTCTTGGTCTCTCTCTTTACCTATCGTAACCATTTCCATCATTCCAGACTCAGCTACCGTATTCTCTGGTGCCGAAGAAGACTGGGCGGGTCTAGTGAATGATTCTCAATGGCCACGTCTCGTCAATTTCTGCATGAAAATGGCCGCCGAGGCCCTTCATCATATCCATCAACTCGGACAGACCGTCATTGTTGTCGGTGCGTTGCCTCCCATTGCGCTATTGGGTTCTTTGGCATTATCGGGGGGCGACAATTTTTTTCTTAGGATCTGAATTCTTAAAATATAAAAAGTGGAAGTGTTTCTAAATATTCCTAAACGTGAAAACTTTAGAAATTTTTGTTAAAAAACATCAAAAATCTAGATATTTCCGATTTTTAGCCAAAATTTCGAAATTCTAATTTTTCGATTGTTTTTCTCGTTTAAAAATCATTTTTTGTTGCTAAAAACACTATTAAAAGGTTGGCTATTAACTTATTAGGTATTTATAGACTTCTACAAAAAGTTCGCCCCCCCGATAATGCGAAAGAACCGATATTGCTTCTGCCAATTTTCCAAAAGTCTTTTTTAAATAGGAATTTCGAAAATATTCCTTGCATTTCCAGAAGAAGACGGCCGCGATTTGTCAGCGATAATCTGTTCCCTGGTGGAGTTGTGCCTTCGCGAGGAATGCCGTAGGGATATCGGCCAATTTCTGCTCCTCATCGCAAAGGTATCATTTTACGTGATTCAAGGGCCACGCTCGAAAGGCCAGGAAGAAAATAATAAAAATTTTCGCAAATTGGTGACTTTCTGTTCAAAAATTTATGAAAAATGGCCAAAAATTATCCAAATTTTGTCCAAATCATCCAAAATCCAAATTATCCAAAAACATTTTGTAACTTTGTAGCAAACAAAAACTATGCTAAGAACACCCTGAAGATGGATGCAAAGAGATATCTCTTTTTTTCCAGGAATTCTGCGCGCTGGGCCATCCATTCGGTGATCGATCGCTGTCCCCCCACGGCACAACGCCCACATTCCTGCTATTCCTCGACGCTGTTCATCAACTCTTCAACCAGGCCCCCAACGAGTCAGTTTTTCGAAAAATACCCGAATAACTAAAGTAAAAAATATTTTACAACCTTTGAAACCGCCGCGTAAAATTTCAATTTTTCATCGAAAACGGCAATTTCCGCTCGAAAAATCGATATTTTTGTATTTTTAACGATTTTTTATCGATATTTTTACGTTTATAATCTTATAAATAGCGTTCGCTTTCAAAAAAAAAAACTGGAGAAAGCATTTGAAATTTCAAATTTTGATCGAAAACTGCGATTTTGGCTTGAAAAATTGATGTTTTTGTATTTTTAGTCGATTTTTGTGACTTTTTACGTCGAGAAATAGCCAAAAAACAGTGAGTTTCAGATTCGGCTTCTCCCCGCATCTCCTTCTTGCCCTCTGGGATGCGTCGATTTCCGGCTTCTTGCCCCCATTCACCTGCAATTCGGCCGTCGAGCAGAACGAGTTTGGTCAGCAATTTAGAAGTATTTTAAACGAAAACAACGTTTTTTAGTCCGTTTTCTCTTTCTACTATTCCTAAACGTATTCTCTCAAAAAGCTCACAAATTTTTAAGAAAATGGCGATTTTTCGACCTAAATCTCGAATTTTGAAAAATGTCACGTTTTTAGATAGTTTTTCCACTTAAAAGATAGTTACATTTTACAAAATCATGATTTTACGATGTAATAAACCACGCTGATTACCATGGCGTTTTTAGAAAAAAACCGGAATGGCCTTGGTTTTCCGGTTATTCCACTTCAACGTTGGCAAAATTTTGTCCGAAAACCAGGATTTAATCGTATTTTGCCAACTTTTAAGCGGAATAGCCGGAAAAACAAGGCCATTCCGGTTTTGCTAAGAACGCCATCGTAATCACAAAAATACTCGTTTTTTTTTTGTCCCACTGATGGCCGCTTTTTTCAGGCGGCGCCTCGGCGTTGTGTCCGTCGGATCCGGCGGGTTGTCTGCGTCGCCTCTTCACCGACGAGTACCGCACCCTGTTCCGCAACGTCCGCTTCGAGGCCGCGTATTTTCTCGGGAAACAGAGTACGTCTGAAGCGCTTTCGCCACGTTTCAGTGTTCTAGAAAAGGAGGAATCTCGAAAACCCCAAAAAACTTGATTTCTCTCAGCAAACACTTCCTATCTTCTGCCATGGGATCGTCCGCTGCGTCCGCGCCCTTCACCCGTCCACTATCGCTTCTGGACCGGCTTCTTCTTGCGGTGGAACCCGGCGGCAAGCATCGAGGTGGGAAGCTAAGCCAAGCCAAAGCCTAACCGTAGGCTAAGCAAGGACAAACTAAGCCTAACTATAAGCCAGACAAGGTAAAGCCTAGCCAAAGCTAAGCCCAGGCCTAAGCTAAGCCTTGAACGCTCCGGAAATGAAGTTACTTTTTTAGGGCGGTGGCCAACTGGCGGCAGATCGACGTCTCGATGAAGTGATGGCAGAGTTGTATGGAAATAAGTGGACACGAATCTTCGGAGAACTCGATGGACAGGTAGCCCTCACAAAATACGAAGCGAGCAACATCTTTTCCACGTCAGAAAGCGAGCACGTCATCCTCGTATCCGTATACGGGAATCGAGACCGATCACGTCAGCCGGTACGAACGCGCGAATGACGATGACTCGGATACACGATCATTATCCGCACTCTCGATCAGTGGCATCACAAAGGTATCGAGCTTTTCCCTCTTCCTAAAAACACTTTCAGCGTGTCCCGTCGGACGATGCGCGCAGCCTCCGCTCCAAGCTCTCCATAAAAATGCCGAGAATTGCCAAGAAATTCCATTCGCCGACCCCGAAACACAAGAAATCGACGCAGCATCCCGAGGAATCCCCGGGATAAGCTAAGCGCAACCAGCATTTGCTCCTTCTCTTCCAATGCCAAGCGTGCAATTCACTTCATCCACGAGCTTCTTCCCAGAGCACTGCCATCTCCCACAATCGCGCCTTCAATTTTCTGTACCTTGCTATCTGTATGTACAAATAAACTAAAACCTGGAACACCATAGGGCATTTATCGAAAACAAACAACAAAACGTACATATTGGAAAGGGTTCATTGGTTAACGGGCAGTAGCGTCGTAGCATCATCGGCAGCTGGCCATTGTTTAGTCGAGCTTCTTGAATCCGATGTCGCCCGAGTACTCGCGGAAGCACCGTCTGCACATGTTGATGCCGTACTTGCGGACGAGGCCATGGTGTCCTGCGCAGACGCGGCACGAGCGCGATCCGGGGCCATATTTTCGGGGATGAGAGAACCACAGCTCGGCGAAGCCCATCGTTGATTGATAACTGAAAAAAACGGGAATTAGTGATGCAAAGAGACGAAGGAGAAAGAAAACGCGTGGAGTCGAGGAAATTGCGGAAAATGCCAAGAATTGAATTCGGAGTCCGTCAAGCGTTTCTACCAATGTCAAAAAGAAAAACGGATCTGTAGAAGCGGGAAAAAGATAATCGGCGCAAGTTCTGGATGAGCTGATCTAATAAACCGAAATAGCGCTGAAAATGGTGTAGCGGGTCTTCAAAAAAAGGTGGAGATAAGCAGAAAAGAGGCACGAAAAGGTTCAAGATTGATTTCGCGGTGGATTTAGCAAGAAAAACTACTCCTAAATCGAAATCGAAATCGAAAATCGAAAATGAAATGAAATCGGCCCTGCTTTTTGCTATAAAGAACTAAACTCTGCAAAAAGAGGTTGAGAATAAAGCGAGAACTTTTTCTAAATCGCATAATTTATAAAAAAACGTACTAATACGAAAAACCGTCGATGAAAGCGCCGAAAAAGAAAATTCGCCCGGAAATTCAAGAGCCGGCCTCCCTCTGCGTGTCTAGCAACGTTCCAATTGGTCCCGCAGCGGGCGCTACCGTAACGGGTCCCCGAGGGGCCCCCCGCTCGCCGGACGAATCAAATCATTTCTCGCCAGCCGCCTCCTGCCAGCGGCTGAATTGCTGTGCGTTATTTCTGTTTTTATTTTGCGTTTTGTTGCGCTTTTCATCTAGAATTTCTCATTATTCTTTCTTGCGCTTGCCTCCTAAATTTTCTTTGTTTTCTGTCGCGTTTTTCTGCGCGTTTTACTCGGCTTCTCATGTCGAATTTCTCCGGACTATTCATTCCCACGCTTTCCACCAAAATTTTCTATGATTTCCGTTGAGCGAACCACTTTTTGAGCTTGATCTCCTTTTGCTAAATGCATTTCTCCTTGATCTGCCGCTTACTAAAACATCCTTTTACTTTAGAACCCCCCGCCAATGCTCAAACCATTGATTTCCCTCCAATTTGCCCTCCTCGCCCTTTCCATTGACACTTGCACCAAAGATCTTTGTGATCAGAGGTGCGTATTTTGTCTTCATTACTCATCCCCCTATTTTCAGGATGGCCAACAACGAGCGCACCTTCATCGCCGTCAAGCCCGATGGCGTGCAGCGTGGACTCGTCGGGAAGATCATCCAGCGGTTCGAGGACCGCGGATACAAACTTGTGGCCCTCAAGCAGGTATACATTTTTGCGGTTTTGGCCTTGGCCTAGCGCTCGATTGCGGTTGGGCGCTAGTATTCTGCGAACTGAAGCAAAGCCCGGATGTCTCACAGGCATTCGGCGCATTGTTTGACTTCTCGATTGCGTCATCGTTTATTTGGAGCTGGCCTGCAAAAATTTGGCGCTAGTCCGGCGTTGCTCGCATTCAATACCCCTTTCTAATCCTTTCGTTTCCAGGTGACGCCGTCGAAGGAGCACCTGGAAGTGCACTACCAAGATCTCAAGGACAAGCCCTTCTTCCCATCGCTCATCTCCTACATGCAGTCGGGACCCGTCGTTGCCATGGTGTGGCAAGGGCTCGATGTCGTCAAGCAGGGACGCGTGATGCTCGGCGCCACCAACCCCCTCCAGTCCGCCCCCGGCACCATCCGCGGAGACTTCTGTGTTCAGGTATCGTGTTCGCGTTCGTTTACTTTCGTGAGCAGGGATGGCTGAAATATGGTTATGTAGAGGAGGCACATCGGTTTTCAGTTTTTTTTGGCTCTGTCTAGGGCCTAGCCTCTAGGCTATCGAGTCATCCGTTGATTCCAGTTCATCGCTAATCCTTTCTTTCCAGACCGGCCGCAACATCTGCCACGGATCCGACGCCGTCGACTCTGCCAACCGCGAGATCGCCCACTGGTTCAAGAACGACGAGATCAACGACTACAACAGCGACCAAATCAACAAATGGGTCTACGAGTAAAGCGGCGCCGGCGCCATCTTGTGTAATGTTTACAGCTTGTGATTTTTTGTTTAGATTTCGAACAATAAATTGTGCAACCCGTGAATTGAGCCTGAATTTTGCAAAGAACATTTGGAATCGCGAGTGATTTTGATTCAAACACATTAGTTGGAATGGCTTCTTGTGGCAGATAGTTTATTTGGAAGTTAGAGATTAGAAACCCGTGTCGTTAGTAAGGGAAGTGCAATTGGAATCACTGCTTCGTCAACTTGTCTGCTTTGGCCTGCTTGTCGGCGCGAACCTGGAAAAGAGAGTTGAACGTCGCGATGGCCAAACAAACAATTAGCGCGTGGACATCGGAAAAGCTTCTGAGGAATGCTTTCCCGTTCGAAATCACGTCAACTTTGCGCGGTAAACAAGTCGCCCAATAACTGACCGCCTCAATAACGGAGAGAACGGCCGTTCGAACGCTGGGCTCATCCTCTTCGGCGGCGGCTAATCCCTTGAGTGGTGGGTTGGAGATGGCCGACGAACTCGATCCGGGCGGGCCACCAGCTGGTTGTGGGCGGATGTGAAGGGCCTTGACGTGACGCTCCACATGGTACTAAAATAAGGGTATTTATTTTAGTATAGCAAGAAGCTTCTGACCCGCTTCGCAAAGAGGCGACCGCAGAAATCGCACGGGTAGTTCATCTCGCCGGCGTGCGATTTCTCGTGGCTTTTGCAGGCGGATGATGAGGGAAACGTCTTGCCACAGTCCCACGTACACGCGTATGGGCGTTCGCCTAGAAAATAGATTTGGCATGGCGAAAAAGAATATTTGGGATGAAAATATCGAAATTGGACCTATTTTTTAAAAAGGATTATATTTCCTTTTTTAATGTTCGTTAAAATTAGATTTCTAGCGAAAAACAATCAAATCTTCAATTCTTAGACGAAAAACTCGGCCATTTTACGCGAAAAAAACCCCTTTTTTATATTTTTAATCCTTTAGAGGTTTTTACGTTGAGAAATACTTTATACGAATTTCGACGCTTAAATTAGCCGAAAAAGAGACCTGTATGGAGACGAAGATGTGATTTGAGGGCGCCGCGTTGCGTGAAGCCCATCTTACACTTGGGACATTTGAAGGGCTTCTCGCCGGTGTGTGAGCGGCGATGCTCGATCGCCTTTGAGCGGAACTGAAAATGGGGAGAAATTAGGGTTGTAGAAGTGGCTTAGGAATACCTTGTCCACTTTGCCACAAATATCACAGCGGTGTCCGTCTTTTTTCGGGGGTCGCGGGCTCTTTGGAGGGATGCCGTCCTTCAGCATCCGTAGCCGCAGCTCGCGCACCGCTTTCGACTAAAAATTTCTTGTTTTTTTAAAGATTTATTAGTTTTTATTTTTCATTATTTTTTAGTATAACCAAGAATATTAAATACGTAGGAATCGTATCTAAAGCGTAAAAAGGCTAAAAAGGTTGTGTCAACCACAAAAATTCAGTTTTTCAAAAGAAATTTCAAATTTTAAGTGGTTTTTAAAGTTTGAAAATATTTTTCGTCTTGAAATCAAGCTATTTTTTCTAAAAAAACGCCTATGATCTGCAGAAATTTTTCCCTGCTTTCGAAACTGCTTTTTAAAACTACCAAATCACCATTTTTAGGTAAAAGTTGGGCAAAAAACCAGTCGTTTTTGTCGAAAATCGTTTTTTTTTTTAATTTTCATCTGATTTTGAACGTTTTTATGCTGGAAAATAGTAAAAAACCGTTGGTACTAGGATGGTTGGGGGGGGCCACTTTTTTTTGTCGGTTTCAGAGCAGTTTTTTGTGCTGAGTTCGAATTTCACAAAATTAGGTTCGAATAACGCCGTTTTCCACCGTAAAACGGCGGTATCAGCCGCGATATCCACTTTCGTAAAATACAACCGGAGCTATTAATGTTGGGGGGCATCTTTTTTTTGGGGTTTTTTTGGACCTAAGCTTTTCTCCAAGTTTAAGCTAACCAAGCCAAGCCCAGCCTAAGCATAACCTAAGCCAAACCTAGGCTTAGGCCCAATCCTAAGCTAACTAGGGAAGTATCTGAACTTGCCATCGAACTTTGAGAAGTCAGATACACCATTCGACGCGCCGTGACAAGAGAATTCCAAATATGTAATAAAATCAACGGGAGCGCGTAACGGTAAAAAGTTATGAGGCTTCAAAGTCGCCAAAATGACGAAAAACAGCATCTTTGAGACCCTGTATCATCCCGCGGAATGGAACTTAGTCTAAACTGATTAGTACTCCATGTTCAATAAAAAAAGCTCTTTCAAATGAGCTATATTACATACGGTTGCCAAAAATTTCCGCAAAAAATATTTTTGGAATGCAGTGTAAGGGTAGGGTATGGCCAGCTAGCCAAAGACTTTTCGAGAATTTGGCGTAAAGCGCAGATAAGATAGCTCATTCGAAAGAGAATTTTCTGCTGATCAAGATGTACTGTTCCATTTTGACACACTAAATTCTTCGAATTCACACAGAGCCTTAAAAGGGCGGTTTCCGACAATTTTGTCAACTTTGATATAGAGAGCGTCCAATCCTAGTTTTGTTGCCGGAGGTTATTTTATCATCGCTGGTGCTTTTTAGGGGTCACACAGTAAAGAAAAACTTATTCCCGAGTTTGGACATGCAAAAAGTAGGAACCGGTCAAAAAGCAAAAAATAAAAATCGTGAAAGGATCCGAACCCTGGTCATACAGCCCAGAGACCCATGCGCAAACCACTAGGCCACGAGACCGATGGACAGGGTGCGCTGGGAGGGGCTCTTCTCGCGACGGCGTCTTTCAATGTAAAACTTAAGATGCTCATAACTTTTTACCGTCATGCGCTCCCGTTGATTTTATTACATATTTGGAATCCTCTTGTCACGGCGCGTCGAATGGTGTATCTGACTTCTCAAAGTTCGATGGCAAGTTCAGATACTTCCCTAGTAAGTCTAGAACAGGCCTGAGCTAGGGCTGGGCCAAGCTTAAGCTAGGCCTAGACTAAGCCTATACTATACTATTTCTATGGCGCCAGGAATTTTCCACCGACCCTTTATACGATTTCTGGTAACAAGTCCACGATCTCTACCCTTGCGAATGATAAGCTAGCGCGACCACACTTGTTACTAGTCTATTATCTTGTTATATCCTTGTTGTTGCGATAAACCCTTGTTAAACAGGTTAAGCCATTTTACGGTGGAAAACGGCGTTATTCGAACCTGATTTTGTGAAATTCGAACCCAGCACAAAAAACTACTCTGAAACCGACAAAAAAAAGTGGCCCCCCCCCAACCATCCTTGTACCAAACCGTTTAGAAACGCTTCCACTATTTATATTTTCGAAAACTAGACGCTAAAAACTAGGAAAATCTACCGAAAACTCGGGGTCCAAATACAGCGGATTGCCGTCGGTGTCCACAAATTCGTACGTCTCCGTGTCGTCGACAAAGCTGAAAAAGGGGAAAATTTGAAAGGAATGCCGACAATAAAAATGCCGACAGCAAAATTTCCGAGAGCAAAAAAGCCGTCGCCCTTCAGCTGTCGACATTTTCCCAGAGATTTTAGCGAGAATTTCAAGAAGGCAAAATGACGCCAAAACGTACCCCTGTGCATCGGGTTGTTCGTAGTATTCGACGTAGCTTGGCCCCGGCGTCGACATCATCATCTGGCCGTCGTCGTCTCCGTCGTGATGGTGGTGGTGCTCCCCTTCTCGCCCGTCGTCAGCCTGAAAAACGGATCAGGATTTCCGGCCCGGATTCGGCAGTAGCAAAGCCTTTATGTGAGAAAATTGTACCTGATCCTCCTGAAAGACCTCCTCCTCGGCGGCCACCGACATCATCGGCTCCATCTCGTCGCCGCGCAGCCCGCCCATCAGCACCACCTGAAAAAAATACATTAGCACCAGGAGACCTTAGAAAAGCTGACCGTCCCGCCGTCGTTGAGCTGCTGCGGCTGGCCGGCCACGCGCACCGAGATCTCCTCCTGCAAAAAATAGATCGAGCATTAGTTTTCTAATGTCGTAATTTACGGATCTTTCGCATTATCGGGGGGAGGGGGGATTTTTAAGGAACCAATTTTACTAATATAAATAGCGAAAGTGTTTTTAAACTATTTTTTACCATTTCTAAACGTGAAAACATTACAAATTTTCGTTAAAAGGGCAAAAATATAGATTTCTTTGAGCAAAAATTATCGATTTTTGACCAAAATTTTTTCAGTTTTTTAAAACCTTTTTTCGCGTTAAATAAATTGAATTTCGGCAAAGACACTATTAAAATACTTAGTAGTACGGTACTGGTAATTTCTGAAAAAACTAGAAACGAAACGCACGACAATGACGGGCTGGCCGTGGTGTTGATGGTGGTGGTGATGATGATGGTGGTGGTGATCGCTGACCTCCTGAAAATAGCACAATTATACAGCTCTCGCGGTCCGCAAAGCGTCTCTGCTAGCCCCCTACCCTGAAACCCACGAAAAGACGCACCTGCATCCAATTCGAGGGTATCCGCTTCACGGCCGGCGAGGCGACGCGCCTGGCCACAATCTTGAACCGGTCATCCGAGGCGTCGTCCACCTGAAAATAGACATTTCTTACGTACAATAGCCGAAATTACGTCCAAAAATTCAGAATTTCACACGGATTCCGAATCTGCACTCAGAATCCGCTGAATCTCAGTAGGTTTTAAGCTATAAGCCCGTCTTCAAAGTGCTAAAGGCTAAATTCCGCTGAAAAATGCCTTGTAGTTCGCTAAATCCGGCGATTCGCGAAATTCTGAGCGCAGATTCGGGATCAGCGCTCAATTCTGGCCCGAAGCGCACCTGCCAAACAGTCGGCGGTTTCTGGCGATCGGCATCTGCGGCCTCCCTGCATTCTCCGTCCTCCCTCGTCTCGTCGCGACCGTACGGGACCGGCGCGGGGCCCTGCTGCGCATACCCGTCCACGTCGCCGTTGTAGACGCTCGCGTACAGCTGAAAAAAACGTTGAGGTGAGGGGCAGCTAGTGGAGATTCTTTGAGGAATGGAGAGAGAGGGGCAGGCTAGCAGAGATTCTTTGAGGAGATAGGGCGCAAATTCCTTACCCAATTGTTGATGCTGTCGGTGAGAATTGTCCACAATCGGCTCTCGTCTTCCATTTTTCGCTTGAATTCCGGCGGATGCGCGTCGCCGTGGGCCATCTGCAAAAAAAGAGAGTTTCAGGCTAAAAAAAGAGGTTTTTCTCACCTGGAAGTGCTTGTCGAAATCCTTGAGATTCAACGACGGATACCCGCAGACGGCGCATCTAAAATGAGCATCAGAAAAATCTCTAGAAAGAAAACTGAAACACACCTGTAGGGGAAATTCTGGATGTGTCGATTCCAGATGTGCCGCTCGAAGCCGTCGAGGGTCGCTGAAAAAAAAACCATTTACGCCACAACAAAGCCCACTCAAACCCGCAGCGCGTCCGCGACGCGTTCACGGGGCTTCTAGGACTCAAAAAAACTCACGAAAATAGTGGTCGCATTCGTTGCAGGTGAACCCGCAGCCCGCATCTTCTATCATTGAAGCGTCAGCCTGGAAAAGGTAGAGTTCCGAAGGCAAATGGTTATACAAAAACGGATGGAGAAGCACAAAAAAGGTAGAGTTTTCTCACGAAGGAAATTTTTTCTTCGTGTGTATTAGGCCGCCTAGGTGCAAAATTTTGCGCCGAACCCGAATCCGTTTTCAGAAACGGCTAAACGGTCCTTTTCGAGCGGCTACAGGGCTTTTTAGCTGGCAAAACGCCGAGGGTGGCCGATTTGGTAGGCCTAAAAGGTTAGAAAAAGGTGTTCAGGCGGCAGAAATGCTCAGAAAACACTGCGCTTTTGAATGAGTTATCACACTCCAACTTATGTAAAATTTTCGAAAATCTGTTCTGGTCCAGGGCGTTCGTTGAAAAAACGGGACTGTTTTATTAGCCGGGGGGGGGGGGGGGGCAAAGTTTGTCATCGGATCTTTTTGCCGCTATTTTACCTTATTTTGAGCCGAAATAAAGTAAATAAATTAAAATAATAATAATAATAATAGTAGTAGTAAACAAAATAAATAAATAGTATCAAAGGATGGCGATTTTCGACCACAAACGGCGGGTTTTTTATCAAAAATTCGACTTTTCAAACATTCCTTAGTTTTGAGGTGGTTTTCTAGTTGAAATATCGCTATATTTTACGAGAACACTACTGAAACACTCGCTGTTAAGGTACCAGACCTTTCTACCCTCATAGAAAAGAGTTCAGCACCTCCCGATAATGCGAAAGAGCTCATTTTTGCGCTGAAAAAAATCCTGGTGCATTTGTTGATGCTCTACCGAGTGGCGACAAGAGAATTACGAAAAATACAAGCCCCCCCCACCGGCAGCGATTTTCCCCCGGCAAAGTCGAGCAGTACCAAAAAAGTTTTGCGTGGCGCTCAAAAGTACAGAAAACCGGAACGGGATCCGTTTTGCAATTTTTTGAAGGCAAACTATCAGTTGAAAAATAGGGAAACCGTTTATTCGCAGTGCGTTCGTTGGGGGCGTGGCAATACTCAACTGGTAGATGACCATGGAAACCCAAAAAAGGCGAAAAAATGCGCAACAATTTCAAGGAGGGCAGCACAGGTCGGCGGGGCAAAAATTAACTTAAAAAATTCATTAAAACGTTGAAAGATTTTCGCATCACAATTATGTTGAGGGGTGGGCGAGAGAAAGGGCGGCAGAGAGAGGGACAAAACGGGGCGAGAGGGAACAAGGGGGAACTGGAATTGACACATACACACATATTCACGGGGAGCTGCTATACTTGACGGGGGGAAACGTGAAAATTTGGCAAAAATCGGGGCCTGGCGACGTTTTAAAGGGACCGGCAAGCGGGAAAAAAATCTGTAGAAAACCAAAAGTCGACAATTACTTCCGCCAAAAAAATTTGACATTTTTACAGCAAAAATCCAGGTTTCCGGTCCCTTTAAAGCGCCGTCCGGTCCCGAAAAGGCGGTAAAGCTGGGGGGAAACGGGGGGAAATGCATTGAAAAATCGTTGGCAAAAGCACACAACCATATTTCCGGCGGGAAAGCCGGAGAGAGAACCTTTTGTTGGTGAGCGACAGTAGTGGGCAGGCAAACCGATTACGCGATGAAAAACAGAGGTGGGGGAATCGATTACGCAACGTAAAAGGAGCTAAAATTTTAGATTTAGAGAGACAAATTACGATAGAAAAAGGGGATTTTTACATTTGGGGAGGGGACAAATCGCTTTGAAAACGAGGTGTAAATCGATTACGATAGGGAAAAGAGGGGGTAAAATCTGATTTTTACGGGGCGAAATCGATTACGCCATGAAAAACATGGCTAGGAAATCGATTACGACAGGGAAAAGAGGGGTAAAATCTGATTTTTACGGGGCGAAATCGATTACGCCATGAAAAACGACGCTGTAAATCAATTACGACACGAAAATCGGGGGGCTAAAATTCGATATTTGCCTAGGGGAGAAGAGGTATTTTTTGGCACACGAGGGCCAAAAATGAGCTTCAGGGGGGCGAGAAGGAGGACCAGCCGAAAGTGAAAAAGCAACGTCAGAAAAGTGAAGATTCGGGGCGCAACGTGAAAAGTACGTAAATATACATGGTGGCGTAGTGGCGGTCGTATTTCTATCGTTGTCCGGGTGGCTTCGTGGGCTTTTGTCCCTTCTTGGCGGGCTGCTGGGGCTTCGCGTCGGCCGCCGTCTGCCGCTTGTTCTTCCTGCAAAAAAGGACGGATAAATCAACGCCAAATTTCGAATTATCGAAAAATCGCCATATTTTTGCATAATTTACAAATTTTCACGACAAAAAATTCAAAAAAACTCGATTTTTCGAGCAAAAATGACCGATTTTCGACGTAAATTTCGACTAAAATTTTCGGAATATTTAAAAACGTTTTTTTTTCAATTAAATATAGTTAAATTTCGTTACAAACCAACTTAAGATTAGAAACTTCTTTTTATCTGGATTTCTCGGGCTAAAAAAAACGATTTTCTGCGAAAATTTCGATCAAAAAAATTGTTAGAATTTTTTAAAATAGTTTTTTTGCAATTAAATATAGTTAAATTCCGTCCAAAAACTTTTAAAATACTTATTCTTACGTTGCTAAAGTGTGAAATACCGAAAAATCACGGATTTTACGCCCAAAACGTGAAAAAAATCACCTTTTCAACAATTCTTTAAAGTTTTATAGTTATCGCTAAAATTTGCTAAAAGCCGCACAATTGATTTTTTAAACTACTAATTACAATTAAATTCAATTAAAGACAAATTTTGCGTACCTATGGCCCCGGGGAGGGCCTCCAAGGGCAGATCCCGGGTCGGCGGCCGCAGTGTATGGTGGCGGGGGCTCGACGACGATCACCGATGGGGCTGGAGGAAGAGCTGAACACACCGAAGATGACGGCCCGGGGGAAATACACGATACCTGATGCTCCCTGGGGGATGAGGGGGATCGGTGGTTGTTGAGGCTGGAGAGGAGGAGCAGATGGACGAGCACCAGCTCGAGAATTGACACCACCGCCACCGCCACCTCCATGCCCTGCTCCAACACCGCCGCCCGTCGGTTGACGAACACCGCCGCTGGGGGGTTGGCGCTGTTGACGGCGTTGTCTCTGGAAAAATGGGATTAGGGCTAGGGTGAAATCCCAGAAAGAGTCTCTGCTAGCCGGCCCCTTCTTTCCATTTCCTCAAACGTTCTCTGCTAGCCTGCCCGTCCTTTTAAAATGACTCACAATAAGCGTGGAGGGCCTGGTGAGCGTCTGGTAGATGTTGAGCGGCGGTGGCTTGTTGGGGTTGGTGGATGGGGTGTGGACGGCACAGCACTTGACGAACAGCGCCATCAACACCAAGAAGCCGAGACCGCCCAGCACCACGATCCACCAGCTTTCCTGAAAAAAAACGGTCGTAGAAACGGGTGTAAAGGCGTGCGTGTGCGTATCGAGAGAGAGAAAGAGAAAGGGAGAGAGAGAGAGAGAGAGAGAGAGAGAGAGAAAGAGAGAGAGATATAGAGAGAGAGAGCGGTAGACGAACCTGAACCCATTGCTGCACCGAGTCGAACGTCCTCTTGTTGAAGAGAAGATTCTTGAGTCGAGCCAGCGGTCCATTCGCGTCCACCGAACGGCATTTCCGAAGAATGTCGCAGTATCCTGAAAGAAGGGGAGAATTAGGAAAACAGTAAGAAAACGTACCTTTGTAATTGTTGCATGGACTGCCGGGATGGAGGACGAGACCGCTCTGCCCTTTGCGACCCGATTGAAGGAATTGGAGGCGCTGGGAGGAGAACTCGGGCAGCAACACGGATGAGAGGCATTCTGAAGAGAAGAAATGAAGAAAAAAAGGGGTGATACTTACTTCCATCCTTCAGACACGCCAAATAGCACAGCTCTTCCGGTTTGCCCTCAGTCAGGAAACAGTCACGGAGACCGACGGCTTCACACACAGAACCATTGCAAGAACCGCCGGAACACACCTGAAATAGAGGGTAGAGAGAGATAGTGAGAGAGAGAGAGAGCGAGAGAGAGAGAAAGAGAGAGAGAGAGAGAGCGCAACCTACCTTAGTGGAATCCTGACAAGCCAGTCCGTTGGCTTTTGGACGACTTTGTGGGCATTGGGCGGACAATCCATCACATGTCTGCGCCTCGCTACATTCAGATTCCTGAAAAACACCCGGTTATACGAATTACGCGATGAAATTCACCTGTCTGCAGACTCGAAAATCGTTTCGGCCAAACAACGAGCAACTCTCGCCATTACAGCAGAAACCCTCACTGGGAGAACACCTAAAAACGAAAAAAACGCATTCGATTACGCGATGAAAATGCCGACATTGCTCCCTTCTTTCGCTTGCACGGCGTGCCGAGTCCGGAGAGACGACCCTCGTGTGGATAGCAGCATCTGGAAATTAGCCTGTATCGGAAAAGCGGAAATTGGAATTCGGATTCCCAAATTATCACCGCTAGCTTGCCCCGAGAATTCATTGCCGGTGGTTTTAAGCGCAGAATCGCCTAGCGTGCAAATGGCGTCGGCTGGCTTGCCCTGGATCGCCCGAAATTGCGCCAATAAACCCTGCTATCATGCCCTCCATTCCCCAAGGGTTTCTGCAAGATTGCCCGGCTCGAATCGGCTAAAAATTCCTCTAATGTTTTCTGCTAACATGCCCTCAATCCCCCAAGGATTTTTGCAAGTTTGTCCGGCTCGTATCGCTCCAAATTCGCCAATCTTCTTCCTAGCCGAAGCCGGATTCCCAAAGGTTTTCTGCAAGACTGCCCGCCCCAAATTTGCCCTAGATTCCCCAATAAACCCTGTTATCTTGCCCTCAATTCCCAAAAGATTTCGGCAAGATTGCCCCATAGGAATTGCACAAAATTTGCGCTAATGTTTTCTGCTATCTTGCCTTGCATTCCGCAAGATTTTCTGCAAGATTGCCCTGTACGACCTGCTCAAAATTTCCTTTAATGATTTCTGCTAGCCGACCTTCAATTCCCCAAAGAGGTTCTGCAAGTTTCCCAGCCCAAGTCCTCGGAAATTCCGCCAATAAATCTTCTTTCCCCCAATTTCCCGAAGGGTTTCTGCAAGCATGCCTCGTCTGACTTGCCCTCAATTCCCCAAGGATTTCTGCAAGATTTCCCGGCTCGAATGGGCCAAAATTTTCTCCAATAATTTCTGCTACCATGCCTTCCATTCCCAAAGATTCTCTGCAAGCTTCTAGCCCCGATTTCCACCAATTCTTTCTGCTAGCCTGCCCTCCGTTGCCAAATATTTTCTGCAAGATTGCCCGGCTCGAATCGGCCAAAAATTCCTCTAATGGTTTCTGCTATCTTGCCCTCCATTCCCCAAGGATTTCTGCAAGATTGCCCTGCCCGAATCGCTCAAAATTTCCGCCAAAAATATCTTCTAACTTCCCCTCCTTTCCCCAAATCTCTTCCGCAAGATTACCCGGCTCGGCTTGGCTAAGATTTCATCCAATTATTTCTGCAAGATTTCCCGGCTCAAATCGGTCAAAAATTCCTCTAATGATTCCTGCTAGCCTGCCTTCCATGCCCAAATATTTTCTGCAAGATTACAGCCCCGATTTCCGTCAATTGTTTCTGCTAGCCCGCCCCCTGATACCTGTCAGCCATTTGATCACAATCAGCCTGTGAGAATCCACAGTCACATTCCTCGCCCGGCTCGTGTATTTGATTTCCGCAAAAGGCCGACGTCCGTTCTGAAGTAAAGGGGTGTATTTCGTAGTCTACAATTCGATACCTTGGAAGCAATTTCTCTTTGTCAACGGGCCAACGGGTCCCGAGTATTTCGTCGGATCGATCGGCACCGAGGCCAGCACCTGAAAAATCGATTGAATTTGGCAAATTACTTCGTCTTTTTGTTGCTTAGAATTAATTTCATATTAGTATGATTTTTACTAGTATTATTAATGACTTAAAATATTCACTATCATTTTAGAAATTTCTTTTTTTCATAAATAATTTTTACAAATTTTTACGAAAAAAGCTAGGAAGAAACCTGCAAAGATACGGTAGTTGAATGCCTAACAAGGAGGCGTGAATTCCCAAATGGACTCTGCTAGCTTGCCCCCAGTAGAAATCAGATTTCCGCGAAGAAATTTGGCAAAAAAACGAAAATTACAACCTCAAAATTTCCGCCAATAATTTCTGCTAGCCTGCCCCCTCCATTCCCCAGAGGTTTCTGCACGATTGTCTCGCTCGAATGGCCCAAAATTCCGCCAATAATTTCTGCTGGCCTGCCCCCTCCATTCCCAAAGGTTTTCTGCACGATTTCCCCGCGGAATCGCTCAATTTCACCATTTTTGGCCAATTTCAACTTTTCAAAAAAGTTATTTGGCGTAGAAAAACGCCCATTTTTTTACCATTTTTTTACATACGGGGTAATTTTAAAACCCCTAGAAAATACGTACCACGTTGAGCACCGAGCTGATGTTGTTGATGGAGCACGAGGAGAACTTGGCGTTGTTCGGCTTGTCCCCAGACGTCGCCGAGGCGAACATGATGAAGTTGCCGAGGGGAAGGCCTAGAAAAAAGGGTAGATCAGCGCCAAAAAAAAACGAAGAAATACCTGGCTGGCATTCTGCGGGGAAATCGTGGGGCGAGCCAAAGTTGTGGCCAATCTCGTGGGCGAGCGTCAGCTGCGAGACACGGGCCGGCACCTGGAATTTGGGGAATTGATCGCGTAATCGGTTAAATCGGTCCCTCGCTTTTTGAATCGTATTCGACCGCATCGAAATGAAATTTAGAGGCAAAATTGGTGCATGAATTTCGCCCTTTTTTACGGGGAATACCACAGCGCGCTATTCCAGAATTTTGCCATCATAAACTCATGAAAAACTGACGCGATTTCCATAGTTGACGAGGGTGACGATGCCGGTGTTGAGACTGCGGAAGATCCAGCCGCGTGGACCCTCGTTGTAGCGCTGGTAGACCTGGCAGACGCCGCCGGCAGTATCTGAAAAATGGTATTAGTAGGGGATCGAGCCCTCAAAGGTGAATACATATCAGAATATCGAATTTTGAGAATCTCGAAATCTGCCAATGCTGGATTCGGGGCAGTGTGCGAAGGGTTTGGCCGTGGGGCGGCCGGCGCTGGTCCCAAAAATGGCCCTAGGCGCTGGTCCTAGGGTTAGTTAAATCGCGATTTTTCGGCGCCTACGGCGCCATGATGGCAAAAAAAAAATATAGTGTTATCGATATATGTTATCTGCGAGGTAAGGAGTTCTCAATAACTATTTCTAAAAAATGCCACCATTTAAATCATAGTAACGATACGACACCACGAAAAATCATGCACGAAAATTTCGGCAGAAGTCGGCAAAGGAGTAAAGTATGATCGGTCATGGTGGGTATGGATGTGACAACGCTCGTTACGGGTGAACGGCTTGGACCAAGCTGGCAATTAGATGAGCATTACACATTTCCCCGATCAAGGTTTGGGTAAAATTTGGTCAAGATCGGCCAGTGGAATGCGGAGAAATAATTTTTTATCGACCCCCCATCCCGGTGCACGCTGGTGAATCCCTTGAAAATGCTCTAACTACCCCGTCCTTGGCGCTAGCGGTTTGAAATTTGTTGTCAGGCTAGGTCTAGGGTCTGCCCAAATACTGCCAAAAAAGCAAAGCATGCTTCCAGTTTAAAACCCTTTTTCCGGACCAGCGCCGCTTCACCTCCGGAATCAGCTCATTTGGCCGCGCCCCCACTTCTGGTCCCCGTTGGTCCCCGAAAGGGCAATCAATCACCACCAAACTTGCTTGCCGAATAGCCTCTGGTACTGGCTATCATCTGACAAAACCATTTTAGCCCATACTTGCTTCCGCCTGTAGCTATCGACCAGCGACTGGTCGCCTTAATTGGCCGTGGGATCGGTAGATGTTCCGTTTTTTCCTTTTTGCGCCCTCCGTCTCAATTTTCCCACTTATAACTTCTAGTCGGCTGAAAGCCCGGTTTTTCCTCTTTCTAACTACGTATCAACCGTTCTGATCCATTACGTTATCGCTGAGTTATGGACCGGCGCTTAATTGGACGCGGCGGTTTTTGCCGTTTTATATGGGAAAAATCCATTCAATTGCATGCTACCCTCTACTCCACTGGCCGATCCATCCCAATTTTTTCCCTAAACGAGTTCCCAGTTTTCTCTTCCCCTCAGCCAAGTTTCAGCTTCATCCGACTTTTTTGAAGGGCTTTTTTCGGGACCAGCGCCGTCACTTCTGGGGCCGTCGTGGCATTGCAAATTTTTTTCCTGTGTCGATTTCTGCCCAAATTTTCATGCGCAATTTTTCGTACTGTAAAAGAAAGAAGAAAGAACTGTAAGCAGCGCAACAACATTAAATTACAGAAAATCCAGGAAGCCGACATTTATTTTCGCTATTTTTTTGGATATTGACCCAAAAAGCCACAAAAATTCTTGCCGCTAACGCGGCGCTGGTCCTAACCCCTGTCAGCCAACCCCCGGCGCTGGTCCATTTGACCATCTGAAAATTCTTTCGCACACTGATTCGGGGCGTAGGCGTGCAATTACCGGAGCCTTTAATGCCGAGTTAGACCAACGAAATTTCGAGAATCTAAAAACTCGAGATTCTGAAACTTCGAGATTCTGACAAATCTCCCTCAAAAATCCCTGGTCTCACAATTTGCACTGGCGAGGTCGCTAAACAAGAAACCGGCCAGGCAAAGGGGAATTTTGCCATTTTCCTCGTTTCTTAGTGAAAAAACAGCCCCAATAAGTCGCGCCTACATTTTTTTTTGTAAAATAGCGTATGCGCTTCTACATTGTTTGTATCTATTCCTCTGCATAAAAATATACAAATTTTAGTCAAAATATTCAATTTTAGGCAGAAAAATTGATTTTTCGATCCAAAATGGTCAAATTTTCGACTTTTCAAGCGTTTTAAGAGTATTCTTGAAGGTTTTTCTACTTTAACAAGTTAAAAATTACTAAAAACAATGCCAAAACTGTTTAAATTTGATGACTAGGCGAATCGGGGCCGCCGAAAAACAATTGGTTTCCCCGCGCCAATCCCCAGAACCGTTTTTCCAGGGAAAAGTTGCTCGTTTTTGAACTTGTTGGGGAAGTGCATCAACGAGGTGAAACTCACTAATCTGTGGGCTGGCCACCCAGGCGAGTCCGAGCGTGCCGCCGACGAAATCACTAAAAAAGAGCATTTGACAGCCAGAAAAGCTCGAAAATACCGGAAAGTGAGGGCGTAGGCTAGACAGAAAGCAGAGTGATTCTTCTGCGAGTTGAGATTCAGGAAATTGGAGACGTCGACATTGTCCTCGCAGAATGGATTGTCGGCACCGTCTTTCGCTCGTCCACCCGAACACGAATCCGGGGTGTAGATCTGCAAAAAGCGATAGTGGAAGGGCGGCAAACTGGCAGGGATCATTTGCGGAAAATCGGGGCAACGAACCGAGGTGCGCTGGATGACGAAATGGAGACCGCGAATCCCGTTGAAGTCGGTGCCCTCGTAGATCTCATTGACGGCCTTGATGTGGTTGTAGAAGAGGCTGACGATCTCCTCGCGGGTCCTGCAACGAAAAAAGGTTGGTTTTGCTGCAGATATGGCAAATTGGCCGAGAAATTTTGCGTGGATTTTGCGGCAGAAAAGTGGCAAGTTTCCCCGGGTTTTTTTGTCAAAATTTGAGCAATTCCAGAGATTTCCAGCCGTATTTCTAACGTTTGTAAGCCAATTCACAAGAAAACCTGAAAAAAATCTCAGCGTTTTGAGGCGGAAAATGAAAAAAACATGCAAAAAGCGCTTTTTGCGCACAGCTTCAAGCCTATCTTTTCATTCAACAAAATGGATAAAAACAGTCTTTTACGAAGCCCAAAATCATGAATTTTGAGACAAGCTACTGCTGGATCGGCTTGAACCCAATTTTACCGCATTTTCGCGCCGGGTTTTCCGTACAGAATCCTTGAAAAGCGGTTTTTTACCTAACCATTTATTTTACCTCTCTAATTTTGCCTATTTTCGAACTTTCGTACGCCAATTCACAAGAAAACCCAAAAAATAGCAGCGTTTTCAGGCAGCATATGTCAAAAAAATGCCAAAAACGCGGTTTTTGCGCCTAGCATAAAGCCAATCTTTTCATTCAACAAAATAGATAAAAGTAGTCTTTTACGAGACGCAAAATCAAGGATTTTCGAAGCAACTTTTCAGGCCGATCTTTTCCCTCAACGAAACCGATCCAAAATAGTCTTTTACGAGGCCCAAAACCATGAATTCTCGAACAAGCTGCTGCTGAATCGTCGTGAACCCGATTTTTCCGCATTTTCGCGCCGCTTTTTCTGCAAAGAATTCTTCGAAAGCGGCTGTTTACCTAATCGGGTCCTTGTTGCCCTCCTTCATTAGAATGTGCTCGTAGAGCTTGTGGTCGGCCTGGAGGTAGAGCGAGCAGGTCCTCACATTGTAGAGCCCGTTGTCTTCTTTTCGCACCGAGCGTTTCGTTCTCCTGCAAAAACCTGGCGTGATTTTCAGCGATTAGCCGGCAACAAAATCTGCCTATCTTTGCCGCCTAAATCTTAGTGATTTCCGTTCATTACGCCGACTTTTATTTTGCCAATTTTCGTCTTGCCGCCGATCAGAGCAAAATGCGCCCTTCGAAAATGAAAAAATCTAAGAAAAAAAGGCAAAAGCTGTAGTCTACGTCTTTTTTGACGCGCAACTTTTTGGAATCGCTTATCAGACAATTTTCTAGCCAAAACCGTGAATTCCGGCCTAAAAACGGCGAATAAACGTACATTGTGGCAAAAGGGCTGTCCCTCCATTCTTGATGTGTCTCGGCCGATCGCTGCACTCGGTCCATTTCGCGACGACGCGGCTCGTCGAGTGCACAGCCATGGGTCGACGAGTCGTCCTTGTCATTGGTGGCCGCTCTAGAACAATGTACACATGAAATAACCCCAATTCTAGGGGTTTTAACCGAGTTTTTTTAGGCTTTTCAATGACAAAAATCGGGCAAAAAGTAAAAAAAGCCGCTATCCGAGCTGTTTTCAAAAATCCAGCAAAAATGCTCTACCTTTTGACGCGCATTTTGCCATGGTTGATCTCGTCGTCGTGGTAGATGATCGAGTGGTAGTGCTTTGGTCGAGAATCCTAAAAAAAGAGGTAAATGCGATAAGAAGAATCACGAACCATGTCAAAATATTTGGCGGCCTTGTCGACCGAGAACGAATGGCCATCACCCGTGTGGATGTGGCCATCGAAGATTCCGTCGAGGATTGAGCCGTAGACGCGAGAGTTTTCATCACCTAAAAAAAACCCGATAAAAATGGAAAAATGAGCGGAATATAACGATTTAATACTGAAAAAACGTGCCTTCAAGAAATCCCTCGTAAAGAAACGACGCCGGATCGATGTCAGCCCATTGCCCGTCTTGATCCGCATAATGTTCATCGCCGAATGGAGACGAAGAGGCGTCCACCGGCAACAATGATATCCGGAATGTCCTGAAAAAGGGGAATCAATCAAGGAAAACAAATAAAGAATAGAATAGAAACCAGAAAAGGCTTTTTCCAGCGATTTGGACGGGTTTTTAGCGTTTTTCGACGCCGTTTGCAAGCCGTCTACGCCCCGCCAAGCCCATTTTCTGGCAGAAGAAGGGGAATAGACCAATTAGCACTCACCTGTTATAAGAATTTATGTTGAAGCGGATGGGCTGCCCATAACCGCCAATCGACCGTTTCCGGCGCGCATTCGAGATCGGAGCGTAGTTGAGCGGCTCGTAGTTGTCGACCCAGTTGCTTAGTGTCAAGCCTGAAAAAGATTTGCTATTCCCAAGGCTTCAAGATGTCATTTTTCACATGCCGAACGTTTCGAAAAGACTTTTTAGACCTAATTTTCGCCAGAAAATCTTTTGACACTGATTTCCGCCATATCCGCTCGCCGGTTTCGTCCATTTTCAACCATAAAAAGCCACGCACCTAACACACAAAGTGTGCACCCGTAGAGCAGTTTCAGCCACATGTTCCGACGATCCGCTAGGACATCGGGCAGCAAAACGCCACTGAAAAGACAGGAAATTAGCTCGAGAATCGTTCGACAACGGCTGGAGGCTCGAAAATCAAAGGAAAAAAGGGATGTAGGATGTTAAAAGCTGGATTTTTTTTGTCAGCCGATTAGTGATACGGCTAGTTAATGGCAAAAGCGATGAAACGCTGGGGGGATGTCGATTAAAAAAGTAGGATTTGGAGGCGAGGTGAGTCAGGGCGGCGGGGAGGCGCTTAGCAGCTGCACACCACTCTACCACCGCGTGTCTCTATTTCTCTTCGTCACGTCCACTCTCCCATAGCCCCCCAATTCCACAGAGAACGGGTGGAGAGGTCATCGCCGCGGGCGAGTAACACAAAGGAAATCGGCCGGGTCCCGTGTGGAGGGGCTGGATACCTTCTCCAGGCGTTGCTCGCGGTCTGCCCATTCTGATGTTAACATCAGAATGCTGCCCGTTCCCCCGAAAACTCCAGTTTTTCAGCATTTTGCTCTCTAGCGCTCGACGGGCAAGAGAATTCACAGCATTGCCCCCAGCAAACCCACCCATCCAGCATATAAAATGTTCGACATACAAAAGATAGTTTCTACAAGGAATGACGACAAAAAACTTTATCGTCAAAAGCCACGCATGTACAGGTTGTAATTTTTTGATGTTCATGAACGACGGGATGTGGGCGGCGTAGAACTTCATGTACAGCACCATCAACACCAAGAAGACGAGCACGACGATCCACCAGATTTCCTGAAAAAAGAAATATAACTTAAAAAGCCTCAGGGATGCGGTGAAGGCCCCTTGCTTCGGCACTGAACGCGTCCGCACGAGTTCAAAGAGTCCTCCAAAAGCCGTTAGACGAACCTGAACCCATTGCTGCACCGAGTCGAACGTCCTTTTGTTGAAGAGAAGATTCTTGAGTCGAGCCAGCGGTCCATTCGCGTCCACCGAACGGCATTTCCGAAGAATGTCACAGTAGCCTGGAAAAAGGGGAGAATTAGGAACAGTAAGAAAACGTACCTTTGTAATTGTTGCACGGACTGCCGGGATGGAGCACGAGACCGCTCTGCCCTTTGCGACCCGATTGGAGGAATTGGAGGCGTTGGGAGGAGAATTCGGGCAGCAACACGGATGAGAGGCATTCTGAAGAGAAGAGAATCATCCTCGAAAAAGGGCTGAGACTTACTTCCATCCTTCAGACACGCCAAATAGCACAGCTCTTCCGGTTTGCCTTCAGTCAGGAAACAGTCACGGAGACCGACGGCTTCACACACAGAACCATTGCACGAACCGCCAGAACACACCTGAAATAGAGGGTAGAGAGAGAGATAGTGAGATAGAGAGAGACAGAGAGAGAGAGAGAGAGCGCAACCTACCTTAGTGGAATCCTGACAAGCCAGTCCGTTGGCTTTTGGACGACTTTGTGGGCATTGGGCGGACAATCCATCACACGTCTGCGCCTCGCTACACTCAGATTCCTGAAAAACACCCGGTTATACGAATTACGCGATGAAATTCACCTGTCTACAGACACGAAAATCGTTTCGTCCGAACAGCGAGCAACGCTCTCCATTACAGCAGAAACCCTCACTGGGAGAACACCTAAAAACGAAAAAAACGCATTCGATTACGCGATGAAAATGCCGACATTGCTCCCTTCTTTCGCTTGCACGGCGTGCCGAGTCCAGAAAGACGACCCTCGTGTGGATAGCAGCATCTGGAAATTAGTCTGTAATTTAGGAGGACAAGCGGCCGGATTCCCAAATGATCGCCGCTAGTTTGCCCCAGAGCACCGCGCGAATCGCTCAAAAATTCCGCGAATATCTTCTGCTATCATGCCCTCCGTTCCCCAAATCTTTTCCACAAGACTGCTCGGCCCAAATTTGCCCTAGTTTCGCCAATCTTTTCTGCTAGCCTGCCCTCCTTTCCCAAAGAGAGTTTGCCAGCCCCGATTTCCTCAAATCCTTTCTGCTAGCCTGCCCCCTTGATACCTGTCAGCCATTTGATCACAATCAGCCTGTGAGAATCCACAGTCACATTCCTCGCCCGGCTCGTGTATTTGATTTCCGCAAAAGGCCGACGTCCGTTCTGAAGTAAAGGGGTGTATTTCGTAGTCTACAATTCGATACCTTGGAAGCAATTTCTCTTTGTCAACGGGCCAACGGGTCCCGAGTATTTCGTCGGATCGATCGGCACCGAGGCCAGCACCTGCAAACAGAAGGAATTGACCAAATTTTTGCGATGTTTTCTTTTTAGAATGAATTTTATATGCATAGGATATTATTTTTAATAATATTTCGATATTGTAGACTATTCTGACAGGACTCTGCTAGATGACACGGTGTCAAACAAATAGAAACGAAATCGAAACCACTCAAAACACCGATTTTTCTAAATTTTTTAGGAGTTTGTAGGAAAAAATGCTTTTTTTTGCGACTGAAATCCAGCAAAAACCACATCAGGAATTTTTTCGATGTTCGATCAAATGCCTGCCAAATCCTTCAAAACCGCACCACGTTGAGCACCGAGCTGATGTTGTTGATGGAGCAGGAGGAGAATTTGGCGTTGTTCGGCTTGTCCCCAGACGTCGCCGAGGCGAACATGATGAAGTTGCCGAGGGGAAGGCCTAGAAAGAAGGGTAGACAGCGCCGAAAAATAAAAAATACCCGGCTGGCATTCGGCGGGGAAATCGTGGGGCGAGCCAAAGTTGTGGCCAATCTCGTGGGCGAGCGTCAGCTGCGAAACGCTGATCACGATTGCTGAAACGCTCAAATTGAAATTGAATCGAAACAGGGCAGTGCAAACAACAACCACAAAATATTACCATGTTCTAGTCGAAGGTTTATGTTCTTCGCTCTGCTATAATGTCGTAGTTCCATATGGGGTCGCATTTCTTCCTCTAAAAAGCAAACGATTTGTGGAATCAGAAAAATAGGTACCGTAAAAGAATAGTGTTCCTCCTGAAGGCACTCTAGTCGGGTATTCGTGGACCAAGTATTCGAGAAGTGCACCAACAGTCATCCTTCTGTCCGCCGACACAAATAGCTGAGTAGATCCATGGCAAACGTCGATCAGCAATAAGACCATCTATAAATGAACATTATAATCAATTCCAATGATGCCACTTTCGCGACATCTCCGCCCGACTCGTGCGCGTCCAATTTATGGCTAAAACAAAATGTGCTTACTTTACAAATTCTAGTATTGATCCTGGGCTGAGAACTTGTAGTCTTTGTTCGCGGAAGTCTTAGCCGTCTCGGGATCGCGTATTCCTTGGCTTGTCGCTTGAGCGGCTCGTAGTTGTCAACCCAACTGCTTAGTGTCAAGCCTGAAAAAGATTTGCTATTCCCCAGGCTGCAAGATGTCATTTTTCACAAGACGAACGTTTCGAAAAGACTTTTTGGACACATTTACGCCAGAAATTGTTTAAAAATCGATTTCCGTTAAATTCGCTCGCCCCTTTTCAACCATAAACAGTCACGTACCTAACACACAAAGTGTGCACCCGTAGAGCAGTTTCAGCCACATGTTCCGACGATCCGCTAGGACATCGGGCAGCAAAGCACCACTGAAAATGAAGGAAATTAGCCACAAAATGGTTTGACAACGGCTGGAGGCTCGAAAATAAAAGGAAAAAGGGATGCAGGAGGTCACAATGGTCATAATTTCTTGCATGCCGTCCAGGTGTACGGCGGTTTTCAAGTTCGAAAGGTGCACCGCGGTAGAAAAAGGGAATTTTCTAAAACAAAACGTTCCGCGTTAGCTTTTCTAAGAAAAAAAAAAGGCAAAAGCCGTAGTATACGTCTTTTTTGCCGCCCAATTTTTTGGAAAAGGAAAAATGCAGTTTTCTAGCCAAAACAGCGAATTCCGGCTTGAAAACGGCGAATAAACGTACATTGTGGCAAAAGGACTGTCCCTCCATTCTTGATGTGTCTCGGCCGATCGCTGCACTCGGTCCATTTCGCGACGCCGCGGCTCGTCGAGTGCACAGCCATGGGTCGACGAGTCGTCCTTGTCATTGGTGACCGCTCTAGAACAAGGTACACATGAAATAACTCCAATTCTAGGGGTTTTAACCAACTTTTTAGGCTTTTCATCGACAAAAAACAAGCAAAAAGTGAGAAAGCCGCGATCCGAGCTGTTTTCAAAAAACCAGCAAAAATGCTCTACCTCTTGACGCGCATTTTGCCATGGTTGATCTCGTCGTCGTGGTAGATGATCGAGTGGTAATGCTTCGGCCGAGAATCCTAAAAAAGAGGTAAATGCGTTAAGAAGAATCACGAACCATGTCAAAATATTTGGCGGCCTTGTCCACCGAGAACGAATGGCCATCACCCGTGTGGATGTGGCCATCGAAGATGCCGTCGAGGATTGAGCCGTAGACACGCGATTTTTCATCACCTGAAAAAAACGATAAAAATAAAAAAACGAGCGAAATAAAACGATTTAATGCTGAAAAAAGTACCTTCAAGGAATCCCTCGTAGAGAAACGACGCCGGATCGATGTCAGCCCACTGCCCATCTTGATCCGCATAATGTTCATCGCCGAATGGAGACGAAGAGGCGTCCACCGGCAACAACGATATCCGGAATGTCCTGAAAAAGGGGAATCAATCAAGGAAAACAAATAAAGAATAGAATAGAAACCACAAAAGGCTTTTTCCGGCGATCTGGACGGGTTTTTAGTGTTTTTCGACGCCGTTTGCAAGCCAAACAGCCTTTTTGAACCTAGTGCTGCGCCCCGCCAAGCCCATTTTCTGGCAGATAGAAGGGGAATTGACCAGCTAGCACTCACCGGTTGTATGAATTGATGTTGACGCGGATGCGCTGCCCATAACCGCCAATCGACCGTTTCCGGCGCGCATTCGAGATCGGAGCGTAGTTGAGCGGCTCGTAGTTGTCGACCCAACTGCTTAGTGTCAAGCCTGAAAAAGATTTGCTATTCCCCAGGCTGAAAGATGTCATTTTTCACAAAACGAACGTTTTCAAAAGACTTTTTAGGCCCATTTTTGCCAGAAATTCTTTTGACACTGATTTCCGCCAAATTCGCTCGCCGGTTTCGTCCATTTTCAACCATAAAAAGCCACGTACCTAACACCCAAAGTGTGCACCCGTAGAGCAGTTTCAGCCACATGTTCCGACGATCCGCTAGGACATCGGGCAGCAAAGCGCCACTGAAAAGGATGGAAATTAGCCACAAAATCGTTCGACATCGGCTGGAGGCTCGAAAATAAAAGGAAAAGGGGATGCAGGAGGTCACAATGGTCATAATTTCTTGCATGCCGTCCAGGTGTACGGGGGTTTGCAAGTTCGAAAGGTGCACCGCGGTAGAAAAAGGGAATTTTCTAAAACAAAACGTTCCGCGTTAGCTTTTCTTGTGGAATTTCAGGACAAGTGTATCGTACTTTCCACAATCACTAGGGAAGTCTGTCTACTCAGCATAGAATTTCATAAGATCTGATATGTTATTCGACGCGACGAAAAATTCGTCCAGAAAGTTTTTTCTGGATTCGATTTCGAGGAAAGGGGATTGGCCTGGTCATTGGAGACTTTTCTGCGAAATTTTCGTAAACCTAGTGTTTTATCGCTCATTTGAAAGCTCGTTTTCTGTTGAAAAGATGCCCCATCTAACTTTTTCTAAATTCTGCTTCTCGAATTCCAACAGGCCGTTAAAGGTACGGTTTTCGAGCGTTTTGCCAACTTTGAAGTCTCATAACTTTACCCCTTCTAGAAGTGCCAAGGCGCGTCGAATGGCATATCAAACGTTAGGAAATTCGATGCCGAGTTGACAGACTTCCCGAGTGAGTGTGGAAAGTACGAAACACTCTTGTCCTGAAATGAGATTTCTCCAGTCAGCCACGTTCTAAGTTGCCAGAGCCTTTTTAAATGCCGTTAATCAAATACCAAGGCCTGAGCATGAAAAAAAAAGACGGAAGAAGTATTTGCGTTAATCCAATAACATTTTGAGAACGGGTGATCTTAGTTTCCTGAGCACCGCAAAGCCCGTTATAACAGGCGCCATTCTTCACACTATGCTTCGCGCAAAGACAGTAACCAATTTAGTGGTGATTCGCAGAGAATTCCAAACATGCTATTTCGCGGTTCGAAAAGATCGTGGTGTGTGCTATAAATTCAGAAAGTGCCTCGTTGATACGTAGAATTGATTCAAATAAACCAGTCTTTTTAAGAAACCTTTATTTTCAACAAAAAAACCGGGGATTCAGATCGATTCAGCCTGCGAGCATAACATTTCTCCCGATCACGATTGCTGAAACGCTCAAATTGAAATTGAATCGAAACAGGGCAGTGCAAACAACAACCACAAAATATTACCATGTTCTAGTCGAAGGTTTATGTTCTTCGCTCTGCTATAATGTCGTAGTTCCATATGGGGTCGCATTTCTTCCTCTAAAAAGCAAACGATTTGTGGAATCAGAAAAATAGGTACCGTAAAAGAATAGTGTTCCTCCTGAAGGCACTCTAGTCGGGTATTCGTGGACCAAGTATTCGAGAAGTGCACCAACAGTCATCCTTCTGTCCGCCGACACAAATAGCTGAGTAGATCCATGGCAAACGTCGATCAGCAATAAGACCATCTATAAATGAACATTATAATCAATTCCAATGATGCCACTTTCGCGACATCTCCGCCCGACTCGTGCGCGTCCAATTTATGGCTAAAACAAAATGTGCTTACTTTACAAATTCTAGTATTGATCCTGGGCTGAGAACTTGTAGTCTTTGTTCGCGGAAGTCTTAGCCGTCTCGGGATCGCGTATTCCTTGGCTTGTCGCTTGAGCGGCTCGTAGTTGTCAACCCAACTGCTTAGTGTCAAGCCTGAAAGAGATTTGCTACAGCGTAGGAAACGGGTAACCTGGAAAAATAGAGATTTGAACTGGAACACTGGCAAGGATCATTTAGGAAAATGGGCAACAAATTGAGGCGCGTTGGATGACTACTTGAGAACACAAAGCAGCTATTTTGCTTGAAGAATTATTCTATAAAAAGTCAGAGTGCGCGAATGGAAAGAATGAACATATGGACGGAGTGCAGCTCATCACTATGTCAAATTTTTCACAAAGTTAATCTACAAACGAGCTTAGGGCGACATTTTAGGAGGGGAGGGGGTCACAGAAGCCCACAGGTACCAATGGCGCGCACGCAAAAGCCCGAACGACATATGCCCGCACGCAAAAGCCCGCAGACAGAAGCCCGCAAAGGCAAAAGCGCGCAACGATAAATGCCGCCATACATTTTGGCCCTCACGGAAAGTGATGTTTTCTAAGGGATCCCGGCTTCATACATCATTTATAGTAGCTGCACGGTACTAAGGGACGGTTCCTTACAGCAACTGGAGCTATTGATGCTGAGGGGACCTTTTTTTGACTTAGCTTAGGCTTACTACGGAAGTGCAAATAAGAAATTCCGAGAGACAGATTTCGAAAAGAGTTTCGGAATCCCCGTCGCCGACCCTAGCTGATCCATAGTTTTGCAAAGCAATTTGTTAGCTTTTGCAGTTTAGTCTAGGCCTAGCTTAGATTTCGTCTATGCCTAGCCTAGCCCTAGCTTAACTTCGGCGCAGCGTGAGCAAAAACTAAGCCGTTGCCTAAGCCTAAGCTAAGGCACAATCAAGCCTACGCTAAGCCAAAAGCTTTCGACTGTTTTTGACGTCTCTGGTTCCTCAGACTTATCTTTACTGATCTAGCTCCAACAAACTAGCCAAGTGGAATAAAAAAGGAACGAGGTAGGGCGAGAAACGATGGCAAAATTCGCCCACGAGCAAATTAAACGTCAAAACCCAACAACAATCCTCACGGCCCCAGTACCCCCGCCAAAGGGCCAAAATGTATGGTGAAGATTTGGAGTTGCGCGCTTTTGTCGTTGCGGACCAATGTCGTGTGGGCTTTTGTCACCCCGACGTCTCTTTCTATGCCGCAACGCCGAAAACCGCAACGCTTCCCTGATCCGTGGACGATAAGGATCGGCTGCCAAGGCCTTTAACCGTGACTGATTTTTTGCAGAATTCGTTCTGGGTCTCGCCACGAATTCCCCACGGCATCTCGATGCCCGCAATGACGGCATGTAATTCCGGGCTTTTTTGAGCAAAAATCCGAAGCGGGGCTTATGAATGCAATCTTTGAAGGCTTATGACTTTCTATTTTCATTCTTACTTGAAAAAAACTGTATTTCCAGATTTGTATAAGGGAATGCGCTGATTCGATTCGACTAAATAGAAAAAAAACTGATTTTCGAAATTCGTTGCACCAAGGCTTCAAAAGCTCCGGTTTTAGGCTAGAGTTTGGTTCAAAATGGGGTGTATTGGAGCGTCGCGTAGCCCCATTTGCAGTCAAAACCATTGCTTCAGTTGCCGTGTCCTATAGAATCACCCGTTTCGAAAATGATCGGTCAAGCGCGGCGGGGTAAGGAAAGCGTTCTAGTTACCTCAACTTTAGTAGTTTGAAGTAGTTTGGTATGGTATTAGTAAATGTTTTTCTTTTGCCAAAATGTGTTTGAAGCCAGAAATCATCTAATTAATGGAAGGCATGTGCCGCGAATCGGCGATTTTCGTACAGTAGGTTTTTACGGCAGGGGTATCGTTCTGCGTATTACCCCAGCAAAGATGGTTTTTAAAACCATCAAAGTGGGTCCCTTTTCCGAAATCGCGCCGCTGGATATGCGCATATAGGGGACCATGACAGTTGCGGTACAACATTTGAGCAACTGGGGCAAAAACGATGTTTGAGCAACCCCTTTTTCCCACGTTCACTAAGAACCCATTGTTGCTCTTGCTCAAACGTCGTCGCGCAACTGTCATGGTCCGTCAGGTAGGATTGTAAATTTAAGGTATCAGATATCTTGATCCCGGGAGCGGTCTCTTTGCCCTGCGGAGCTTTCTTTGCGGGCAGTTTCTTTCAGGCAGAATTGTTTTGAGGCAGTTGAAGCCAAATGGAAGGATTTTGATGTCGGACAATCGGGCATTAAGGGTCACTTGCGGAAGCCGCCGTATTAAAAAACGTGCGACTATTACAAAACAATCGAAAGCTTGAACGATCGAACTTTACCAGTGCCGGGCGTAGCGGTTTGCTTTTAAGATGCTTTGAGGATGCGGCCGGGCGAGCGACGATTGAGTGAGGTATCCAGCGGCAGCTGAGAAGCTGTGAGTTGTGGGCAGCAACTTGCTAACGCGAACAATTAAAGGAAAATAGTCTATGCTATGGTAAAGCCCGTAATTTGAGTTGCCATAAGATTCAACCCTGGAAGCTAATGAGCAACAGATCTACACAATCCGGAGCCTGGAAAACGTCCAGGTTTACGCTTCGATCTGCTGGATGTCTTTTTTGGACCGACAGACGTGGCGACGTAGTAGCACAATTCTCGTCGCAGTTTACCGCATTCCGTTTATTTCAACATTTAGATAATTTTACATAATAACAGAATTTTAATTCGATCTGCCGGCCCACATGAGATTGAAGCCAGTGGGAAATTGACGGGTTAATCGTTGAGAGATAGTAAGGGGATTGGGGCAATTTTGTCGAATGAGAAACGTGACCAGGGCTTTGAGGCCGCGAAGTTTCACCGACAATTCGATCTCGATTCCCGGTAATGGCTTTGGCTGATGACGATTGAAGAACGAGACAAGTTCCGCCATATCCTGAAATTAGTATTTTTGTTTTAGAGATGAGATGATAGAGAGGAACACAAATAATTCCAATCTACAACAACATACCCGTTTAACCATTGAAGGTTCTGACTTCTTTCGAAGTTTCTTCTGCAATGTCACAAACATTGTCCGTTCTCTACCATCCATCGGGGGTTTCTAATCATTCATTCATTATAGTTTTTCGTTCAGTTCCAATTATATTCAGAAAATTCTATGAAAGTACTATACTTCGCCAGCCACCCCGGGTGGTACCACCCCCCAGGGGTGGATGGAGGGTGGGGCTGGGGGTGGTTGGGGGGTTGGGGGGTGGGGTGGGAGGTGGTCAATGCATTAGCCACCCCACCCCACCCCGTACAAAAATTTTCATGATCTGGCAATAAAACTTTTCGGTCTTCCGACTACATTGTCTTTGAGGGACCTTATCTGACTCGAACAGGCTTTTATTGTCAGACCATGAAAAAATTTTGTAGGGGGTGGGGTGGGGTGGCTAATGCATTGACCACCCCCCCAATCGGTTGGCAAAGTATAGAAAGTACCATAGCAGCCCAATTGACAAGACGATTGACGGTAGAAAGAGTCTCGATATGACCCCCGTAGATTCCAGTATGGATGAGCAGTACGGACGAGTCGCTTAGCTGCAATTGCCTCGGCTTTTACTACAATATAAATGTTATAAATAATACTAGAAATGTTCATTTCGGTCGTTTTTGAGACGAAAGTCGGGGATTCATGCTCAACCGAGGAAATACGGAAACTTTAAGAGCTCTGAGGTACCTGATCCCAGAGTGGCAGCTGTTCACTCATCCAATCCTCTTTCTTGGACCAACAAGTTATCGAAGGGATTACGCCCTATAAAAATTCGAAAATTTTCTTGAGTAAAAAGACAAAACAGACCACAACGTCAAGGGAAAAGTTGCGTTTTTTCAGCCATTCGAGCTGTATCGACGAATGATGTGGACAAGATTTGATGAGAATCGAGTGGGGATTCTTGAGCAGGGCCAGTCGATCAAGCCGAAATTCAAGCTCCTAAAAAATATCGAAGATGGAATATTTTTAGACTTTTAAAGGGCTGCCGACGGCATGTGTCGATCCCCCCCCATCAACAAACTGGCAAGTAGCCAACAGGGCAGAGAGCGCGCCCTGGGGAGAGGCGCAGAGACATTTTCTTTCCAGCGCGTAACCGATTGATTATGCCGTCGGCATCCCTTTAAGCACTGCAACGTACCGTATCTGGCGTCCCGGTCCGGATATATAAACCGATGGCATTCGGGACAGTGCCTTCAAATAGCTTATTCAGTATCGTGAGCGCTTTCTCATTCCCGCAATTTTCAAGTGTACACATCACTCGATCACCGACAACCCTGTAATAGTATTGTCTCATCTAACAACGAGCTTTCGTTAGGTGATGTCGGATTTTCGAATCGAGAGATGGGTCGCTGTATAAAGAAAATAATTCTGAATAAGATCCCATTTTCAGAAAGTGCTGAACGATTATCGTATGCCAAGGACATTTCCATTAATAAAAAAAGGCCCCGTCGGCTGGGCATTTGGAGCGATTTCCTCCTCAATCCGTTTTTGCCCTTTTGTTTTGAAGTTTTTGAAGTTTTGTTTCTTTTTAAACGAAAAATTTTTGCTCTGCTTAGTAAAATTTTAATTCAACCATCTAAAAAGCGCTTTATGGTTTGATGTGTGGCTGTTTGGGAAAATGGATGACAAACGTACGGCCTCAAGAAGTGTGGGTTATCATAGGTGTGCCAAACAGAATTGTTATGGGTCAATTCGAGGGTCCCTCGCATCATTTTGAAGTCCATCTCACCGCAACTCGTTCGAAAAGTGACAGTCAGCAGCTAGAAAAAAAAACTTTTTTCAGAATCAAGGTAGCTTCTTGATGTTGTGGCATTGGAATTCGACCACATCTACTTACCCCGCAAATAG